AATCTTTAATAACAGAAGTAGACAATTTTGGTTCCTCCTCACAAATCCTTAAAGGTTCTATATCTTCACTCTGAATAGTAATACTTTGTAAACTTGTGGAGTCAGAACTGCTTTCTGAAGCAATAACTCTATTCTGTGACACTCTATTCAACAATGGCTTACCAGTTGCAACTACAGACTTCTTGACCGCACCGTTATCGTCACACAATTCGGAGTCAGGCCTGGAGTTTACATTTCGTTTATCACTGAACTTGCTCACTGGTTCACAGTTCACCTTTGTATGCACCTCTTGCAAACGTGTAAAACACAACCGTGCTTGTCTTGCAGCTTGTAACTTATCTGTTGAGGATGTACTACGAAACCTGTTACACTCACTAGGTCTATATGCATTACTAGACATCATGGAGCCTTCTGGATATCCACCTCTCTGAGGCCTATTCGTCATCAATGAGTGCGTTTTACCCTCAGACTGCTCTATTCTAGGGGTGAGATTCAATATACTGGCGAACTTGCTCATAGATTGATTGACACTATCTTTTACTAGTTTCAGGATATCATCAAATTTTGGCTCGATACCCTCATCCTCCATACGGGAGCTTATCTTCACCCACTTCCTTTGCAGTCGAGTAGGTAGGCGTCTTGCTATTACTTCTAGTATAAAACTCGAGTTGAGGTCATTCGTGCAATTCGTCGAAATCAAGGTATTCTTATAAGTCATAAGATTATCTAAAAACTCAGTAAGTGCCTTGGAGTCATCTTGAAGTTGACTGCCGTTACCTTTGACAGCTTCGTATACGTTCCTTACAGTCATTGAAGGTCTTCCAAACCTTTGACGTAGTATGATCATAGCCTCGTAGTAGCCATCTTTTGGCTTCATAAACTTACAGCACTGTATAGCTCTTGAAGCATCTCCAGTGCAATACCTCTGTCAATCACGTCTCATAAACCGTTAACGCCCAGCTCTCGCTACGCTCGGGCCCACGCTGTTCCTTGAAGATTTCAGAAACGCTTAGTTATAACGGACGAAAAAACCAAACACCGATCTGCCGCTTGATATTTCTCTATTGTTACACCAACATATAAAAAGAATAAGTGAACTAAGGTCTGAAAACAAATATTACAATAATAAATCATTGTATTACTTCTGACGATGTTTCACTCTTCTTTCTGAACAGCGACCGATGAGACGATGACTGTCGTACTGATGCCTTCGCGAAAATTGGGGAAGTTGGTTTTGAGCAACAACCATGAATTGATCGTTCAATCTTCAACTACATTGACAGCTAGTGTTTTCATATCCTCCACTCTCAGTGGACAGGTCTCACAACCCTAAAGGAGGGTGGAGCGGAGTGATGAGCAGTACACCCTCCCTTTGTTCGATAGTGGAACATCTCGTCTACGCCAGAGTCGGCGTAAACTGGCTAATGCGAATCGAGCCCCTTGTATTCGTGCAGAGATTTCGTCAGATATCAACCCGTTGAGGCTGATGGTACTTCCCAATTAAGTGCCTTCTGCACAGATCAGATCAGAGTAAAGTCGGAGAAACTATTTTTTATCACTGAGGAAAATTACGTGGAAGAACATTGGAACTGACTTTCGAGGAAACTTGCACAAGTGTTCCTGGAAGAAGGAGGAGACAGGACAACGAATGGCTCTCAACGGATGCCTGGAAGCCAAAAGAACGGAGAAGGATAATGAAACAGAATGGGGAGATGGACAGGAGACGGAAAATCAGACTTTGATGCGCACTTAATAAAGGTGTTAGGAAGTATCCTGGGAAAGACAGAAGACAATTTCCAACAAGTGGAACAAGTGGAGCGGAACAGGCCGCCGATAGAAGAGACCTCAGAACGGTATATCAGATATCCAGTTTTCTTAGCAGATAAAACATATATAGGGAACCTAATAACAGAAGGGATGAACAGATAAAACAATGGGGTGACCGCCTTAAACAACTCTTCGACCGATGATTATGCGCAGTTTGCCGAAAAACACCATCACCGACAACCATGCAGCAACTTCAAGTGAACGCCATTCCTCAAACAAAAGTGGAAGTCTTGAATACGATCAGGATAACGAGGTTCGAAAAGGCAGTAGGACGATAGTGGATTCTCCTTGAAGCGCTGAAAGAGGAACCACAGACTCCAGCAGATATGCTGACGCCGTTATTGCAAAACCGCTGGAAGGAAGGAAATGTCATCAAGAAGAGAAGGAAAGGTGGCCTGTCAATGTAATTGAAGATTGAACGATCAATTCATGGTTGTTTGCCCAAGTCCAACTCTATATTTTTCGCAGGAGTCATCAATCCAGCAGTCAACGTCTCATCGTCCGCTGTTCAGTGGAAGATCGAAAACTATCAGAGGTATTATCGTAACTTATTACTATAACATTTATTCTCAGACCTTGTGTTTAATAACCTTATTGTTGGTTACATATTGGTGTAAGAATAAAGGATTCACGAATCGCCAATCTGTGTTCTGTGTTATATATAGTCGAGACTAACTGAAAACTAGTTTAAAATCACGGAGGCAGCCTAAATGATTGGTTTACCAGAGCTCCACGTTTGCTCATAATCCCTTATCTTCTCCTAGCATGATCTCCTCCACGCAATCCTCAGACGCCCTATTCCCTATTTTCCATTCGCGTTTCATCTGAGGTCTTGGCTGGTGATGTCACTTAACAGTCTCCAAAGTGTTTTTAGTCCATCTCTATCTCCTTCAGCCTATCTGCTGAGTAACAGACTGTTGATTTGTTCATTAAGCGAGTCCTTGTTGCTCATCCCTTCTAACCCCCTGATCTTCATTAGGAGGCGCAGGCAGCCGTTGATAAAGGTTTAACGCCCCTAAAAATGCTCCTGGTGGCACAACAAGCCACTGAACCATATGGGTGTACTGAGTGACTTGTTGCAAATGCTGAATACGCCTGTGCTGTTCCTTGATCTGAGTAAACACTTTATATTTCCAAGCTAATTTCAGGGCACTGAAGGTATGTCTTGCTTCCTCAACCTTGGTTTTGACTTGCTTATAAGCTGCCTATAGTTCAGACGATGCTGTCGATATAAATGAAAGAGCTGACTTCCTTTGGATTTTTCCCGTCGACATCATTCGACACTCCGTATTGTTGAAAGTCATTTATTTGCTTCACCTCTGCATTCTCTGCGATCATTTGAAGTCCCGTTCTCTCTGCATCCCTTATCGATCTGTTTGCTTTCATCCATAGATCTTCAAGTTTGCTCAAGATGAGAAAAGTCTCGGGTATCTAGACCTTCCATAGCCTTTTTATTGACCCGAAGTATTCTTGTCTTCCCATTCACACGGTCTGCCTCGTGATTCGGCAATAATATCAGTGACAGTAGAAGACGAATAGTGTTTTCGAACCTGTGTTCTTGAAGCACAGCAGAGCGCAAATGAAGCGGAAAGCCTAGTCAAAAAATTAGGGAGGGCATTCATCATTCAGTAGATAGAGGAAGCCTTACAAATAATAAAAAAGATGTAGGTCCTACTTGGTAACTCGTTCCACTTTTTGAATTCCCTGATCACCTACTACATTTGAGTGGCCATAGCAAATTAAGTTGTACAAACCCCACATATCTCTCAGATGTTACGGTTTTTAATATTGTTGCATCATGTTGGTTACTGTAAGCCACCCACTAGTTTGAGTTTATTTTCTCCCGGAAGTTAAATTAAATATATCAGCAGATCAGTTTACGGTCTGATAAATGTAACCAGGGACATTCAATAAGCCTGAATTAAAAATAAAACCAATACTTATAAACATCGACAGCTTATTAGATCATTTGCTGTTTGACTTCAGCTGACTGCTGTATAGTCACTTTAACTGAAAATGCAACATACGTGCCGTACAGATGGTAAACTTCACCTGAACTGCTCTTGCTGAGACAGAATATAATGCACCACAAGCCCCAACCTAATTGGGTGACTGGGTTGCTTCTGACACCTAAAACCTGCTCAAGGCATACTCAGCTGGATAGTATATTAGGAAATAATTGGTATCCACAATAACAACACAATGCAACCGCTGATATTCGATTCTATAAAAATCAGTTGTCTGTGGACACTTTCTTGAGACTTTGACACTGGGTTTTCTACACTCGTGCACGAAAATTATGGAGGCATAAATGCAAGAGAACTAAAATTTTGGAAGCGGATTCATGTGCAGATAATAAGGCTTATAAAAACGACTCTTATCACTTAACCCAATTTCACCTAAACGGCTAGTTAGCAAAGCAGATGAAGCACTACAGCTGGAACCCGTAAACGGGATGCGTTCTTTGATATAAATGGAATTCTGTCTAAGGCCGATAGTGGGAAGAATAACAATGTCATGATTTCCTTAACCGACGCTAATTCACGTGCCAGATGTTTCAGATAAGCTTTGCTAACAAGTGCCAAAAAGCATGAGAGCTATGTCCACAACTATTTATTAATTTTATCCCAAATCAGTTTGAAATGCGTGCCTATGGCCGTTTTGGCTTAATAACCACACTGAGCATTTTACCGAATGAACAAAATAGCACTGAGGACCACATTATACGGTATTGGTTATCCACTAATCACTAATCAATGAATGCCGACAGTCACTAATGTTTATAGATGAGGCTGCGGATTATCATTTAAGTGATATAGGAAGAAATCCCATCAGTAAAAGATAAGACAGCAGTATGAGGAGAATACAGGACGTGGTGAGGTGATTTGACAACAATGGAGATTATTTAAGTATACTTGTAGAATTGGTGTGGTTCGTAATAAAATAAAGTGCAAATATTCAGTTAAACTTTACAGATGGCCTTAGGCAAAGTAATTTTCGGTAGTTTTGCTTAAGTAAATGGCAAAATGTACTCACTCAAAGCCTAATTTTTTTACTGGCACATTGTAAAATGTGATAAAAAATGAAGTTCTGTAAGTTGTCTATACATATAGCAGTATTCATATTTGAGGATACCCGAAATAATTTCGAAAGTTATTGTTTTATAAAATTAGAGTGAAGTTCTGGAAATTCGAAAGTTACTCTCTTTTGTTAGTTCACTACTGCTAACCTGAAGGGATTTCGGAGCGATATTTGATATGCTTTCGTTTGTGTGATCGGTAAGTGTTGTTTTTTGCATAATTTTTTCAGGGACATATGGTAGATGCGTTAAATGACCTGTGTTCATGCATTTGTGTTTACAATATTACTTGCTATGTTTATGTGTACTCTAATACCTGATACTAAGTCAGCGGAGCACTAGCTTCCTAAGGATAGTATTACATTAACACGTTTTTATTAATGCATACCAACAATTACTTATATTAATTGTACGGGAAGTTTTAACACGGCATACTTGGTTGACTGGTTGCTGTTTGGTTTGAGGTATGTCTACTCGGAATGTTAGTGGAATCGGGCATCTACAGCAGTGCCTACTTATATCCGTCGCTTCAGATAATAAATCTTCATTAGATCTTTCGCGACTGTGTAGGTTCGAGTAGTTAATGATTAGCATAACATTGATTCTCGGTAATCCACCCGTCCGACGGAATTAACTGTCGCCGTCATGTGGAATATGGCTAGGGTTGTGTTTATAGATATGTTAGAAGCGAGCTCAAAGATAAGACGTCATACATATGTCTCCCAGGAACTGTTGAAAGGCGAGGATGTGAGTAAATTCTTGCCTGGTTTTCCCAAGTTTTCCCCAGTTGCAACAATCTCAAGCTTTAAAAATGCTGAAGATCAGACGAATTCCGAACTAACTCATTTTCTTTGGTGAGTGAATCCTAAAAATGTAATTATCTTCACAAACTGGAACTGAGTGCTGTTTTTTAGCATGACTGGCCTAAATTCAGTACCCTGTGTTTTTCTCGGCATTTTCAGAAGTAGTTCAGAACCTACAGAGTTTGTCTATCAGCGTTATTACAACCCTTCGCCCAGATTCAGCAATGACCGGCATCATTTCAGAACTGATTTAGGTCAGCACATGCTGACATGTTTTTAGCGTTGTTTTAGTCCTGCTTAACCACTGACTGACATTGTCATTGCCTCTGCGGATTCCGGTGGAATTTACGGACATTAGTTCAGCAATCCTTTTAGTCCTTTTTCAAAGAAACCTACGTATTCATCGCATCATAGAAACACTTCTGCCAATCGCTATTCATTACGAAATTCATTGGGTTGGCAGAAATAAATAATTTTTATCCGGAGTATTTCACTTCATTAAAGTGCATCAGTACTGCAAATTCGTCGAGTAGGATCCGCTGGTAGCATCCTGCAAATAAGCGAAATCTGATATTAGTTGAAAAGTACGTCTGGTCATTGCATTTTCAGCATTTACATTTAGAAACGTTTACTTCATTAGGCGCATCTGTTTCTTCTCAAGTTTTTTTTCATTTGCCTAGAAATAAGATTTAATGTTGTAATAACGTGTTGATTAAAACATAACTTTTAGGAGGGAGTCTGTGTTTTGCACTGTCACCTGACTTCCTCTCTTCTGCACGCGCCTTTGGATGTTATCTTTCAGATTGTGAAAATAAAATTTCGTGGCTTTGTCCATTATGTCTCCAACCTTTCGTAGACAGCTGGCCAGAGAATACCATAATTACAGCTACAGAAAGAAATACCTCATAAATCAACCTTACGTCTCATGATATTATAGAAAGCATAGGGCACAAGGGTAGACTTATTCATTGTTCCCTGTAATGTAAACTCCAAGCCCAATTAAGGTTTGAGAACAGTGTGCATCATACCTTTCAATGACAGTTTTGGATCACCCTGAAGGTAGCTTGTCCTTTTAGCTGTCTAGAAAGAATGATAATTAGATGGGCGAACTCACAAACGTCCCCTTATATTTATAGTCTCTTAACGATGCTTCTAGCAACTCTAAGGGATCTTCATTGTCAATCGGAAACTTCACCGTGCTGGTCATTGTTGGCTAGAGGGTTGGTTTGCCATTGAGATTTGCTATTAATACTAACAATGTTTAATGTTTTCGTACCCAGTGATGGTTTCCATTGGCGATTCTTCAGATATATATATATATATATATATATATATATATATATATATATATACATATATAATTATTTGTTAGTATTTACCGAGCGCTTTCCTATTAAGAGTCGACAACTCATTGACATCTTCGTTAGAGGACAATTTAAAGCAAACATACGCAATTATTCCTACTGCTTAGATACAGTTATCGTCCTTTTGCCAATTGGAGGAGGGAGAATGGAAGTTCGGAGCATTTGGAATACTTCTAATGAATGACTAAGTTGATACCTTGGAATTGGGGGGGGGTGCGAAGTCACCTAATACACTGAAAACAGGATATTGTGGTTTGATGCAACCAACTTCTCTGGCAGCTACATCAATATATATTGAGTTGTAAAGAAAGTCTTTTTTCGGTATTCCCTGCATCCCTGAAAAATATTTAAAGCACAGAAAACGGTACTCACCTTTTCCTTCTACTACTAGGCATTGGCAACATGTCGTCGTTACTATATACATTCTTGTTGTTTTGATCAAAGCTTCTGAAAAGCTCTATAGACTTGACAGTTTTCAAACGTATCTAGAAAGGTAACATTAGATGTATCCCAACTTACCATATTTCTGAAGTAGACAGAACTCAGCTGGTGACCATCTCTCTCCAGTAAACACAAGCTCTATGTGGTTTGCAGTGTTGTTGTATGCACACATACCACTTTGCACTACCCAATTGTTTAGAATAGCGGCTATATTGTTGTCTTTACCAAGTGAACTACGAGAAATTGAACCCCATATAGATTGTGGAATCGTGTGTAGTCTTTTAGTTTAGCTGACTCACCTGTACTCATTACAGCATTTCCCTTCTCAAGAAGTGAGACGATTGACAGCCTAAACCAGTCTGTTGGGACTACTTCTGTACACTAGCTAGTCAATTATTATCAGTCTTGAACAGCTTTAGAGTTATCCAATCAGGTACTAATGCTTTACCTTGTCTTGGGGATAATTTTCACGGCTAAAATTGTAACGATCTTCAAGTAATGAGTAACTCGTTATCTTGTGTTTAATAATAATTTGTGAGAGAATTATTCAGTTTGCGCGACGTAGGATATAACGAGAATTCATTATTCGGGGAAAATTTTGATTTCCAGAATATAGATGATAATCCCACTACACCATTATGTACAGGCTCCCAATAAGTTATTTAACATCTACCAAGCTATGTATTTTTAGGAAATTGTGTTTTATGTCTCGCTCTCACCTTTCATTGTAACCACTTGTCTAACTTAATTTTAACGTAGACCTTGGCACAAAAGTGCAGCACTCCAAGTTGCTACACCCCATGTAGCACACAAAAGTAGACGAGTAAGGAAAAAGATATTCGATGTGCTATAATCGTCAGAAATTTGTGAAGAATATACCAGCATGGAAAAATTATTAGGGTTTATTGGATATGGGAGATTACAAAGAGTGAATGCATCTGCACCAGCGAGAATGATTTGGGACTCTGTCTCCAGTAGTGTCCAGTCATTGGTTCTTAGCGTCCAGACTACCCCAACCATGTGGAATTATCCAGGCAGTTTTTCTGTTTTTGTTTACCATGTGTTGCTGTAGTGCCAGAATAGCACAAATTTGAGCTGCTGGGTTGTAAGGTTTTAGTACTCCGAATGCAAACAGTTCTGTTTTTTATTTGCTGAGTATGTTACTTAAGCTAGGATGTCTAATCATCATCAACTGCGTATACTCCTTAACGCAGAGGTAGTGTTTTGCAAGTCATATGAGCTAGTAACTGCCATTGTAGTCAGTTAAGCATGGTAGCGAATGACATCACTATTCTAAATTTTTGAAATAACGATACAGGATTTTTGACTCGGCATCACTGCTTAGTTGTATAAGAAAGAGTTATTAGTATAGGAAGTAATGGACCAAACTTTCCACTGATAAAGTAAAATGTGCGAAGAGAGAAGCTAAGAAAGATAATAGTCTTGGAATAAGATAAATGGAGCAATTAAAGGAAAAGGTAGAGCTTGAATGATCTTCCTGATTGCAATTGATTGGATAATGCGACAGACAACGGCAACCAACGAGGGAACAGGCATAAAATGGACTGACACAAAAGACTTGGAGGATCTGGATTTCGCCGATGATATATGTCTGATTTCCCATAAACTGGAAGATATGCAAATGAAAAGTAACAAGTTAGCAGAAGAAGCATCAAAGATAGGACTTCACGTGAACATAGATAAAACAGAGATGATGAAGATTCCTAGCCAACATCAACAGCAACAACAGACCACAATAAGCATAAATGGGAAGAACCTGAAAGAAACAACCTCCTTCACCTACCTGGGAAGCATCGTCTCAACTACAGGCGGAACTGACGAGGACATCAAAGCCAGAATCGGAAAAGCAAGACAAGCTTTCATTACTCTCAAATCCGTGTGGAGGTCAACAGCAATCAGCATCAAAAATAAGATCCGGATTTTCAACTCCAATGTGAAGTCAGTGCTACTATACGGATCAGAGACTTGGCGAGTCATAAAGAGCATCTCAAACAAACTTCAAACCTTCATTAACAACTGTCTCCGCTCAATACTCAAGATCAGATGGCCAGAAAAGATCAGCAACAGGGATCTCTGGGAGCGAACCAATCAGGAACCGATTGTGAAACAAATAGGCAGAAAGAAATGGAGATGGATTGGCCATACGCTGAGGAAACCATCAAGTGACATCACTAGACAAGCCCTCGAGTGGAACCCGAAAGGGAGGCGGCGAGTTGGTCGTCAGTGCAAGGGTGACTTGGAGGAGGTCATGTGAAGAGGAGATGAAAGCATGCGGGCAGACCTGGAGCAGGGTGAAAAAGTTGTCAGAAAACCGAAGTCAATGGAGGTGCGCAGCTGAAGCCCTATGTTCCTCTAGGAACTAAAGGATACAATAATAATAATAATAATGAATGTATTTGCGCCCAATGTGAAACTATACCTTATATCCGAGTTGAAGTCATCCGGAGATAGTTATATCAAACTCATCTCTCAGGTATATTCGCTGTATAAAAGATACAGATAAGATTCTGTTGTCACTGTTCAGTGTTCGAACAAACTTTTCAGCTCCCTATTTAAACATTTGGCAATCAGAATGATTACATTTTGGTTGGGGTATAATTTAGATCAACAGTGAGATTGTAAAAAGGTTTATAGTGTTCATTCACTCGACCTCGCTGTGTATTGTAGCATGTGTTTCTTCGTGGTTTTGTAGGAAAGGTATGTTCAAATTTGTAATCACCGGAGTCACTTGTGGTGGCTTAAACCCACCCTGCCTACTAAGGTTTGGGCTGTCAATTGGTAGCATCTTCCCTCATATCCAAGTGTATTAACCTGTATGTGGTTGTTGAATAACTTATTACGTTTGAATCTGGTTACGGTCACTTAGTCATAGTTTTCAACTGCACTATGGTGTACAGGGCGTGCGCTTACTGATTAGTGGCAGATGCTGCAAAAGTTATAACAGACGAATCTATCTGATTGCTGGGTGACGTTATATTCAAAGAGTGAAGATGACGCACTAGCCTGAAGAATAGTACTGACTGTAGTAGGAAAGTAAGATGGTGAGGTGGGTAAAGGAGAATGATGCTCAGGAAAGTTTCGCGTGCTTTTGGAAGTGTGTGAGCGGTTGTCACTTCCCGGCTGCTCACATCGTGGATGTTGGCATAATAGGGTGAGCAATATTGAGGTTAGGCGTCGTGTGCTAGGTAAGGAGGGGAAATCGATCGATGAGGTTGTGAAGTTACATAGACTGAGATGGTTAGGACATGTGTTACGTATGCCTAGCCATCTCCTTCGATGGGCAATGTTAGCTGATATAGGGTTAGGTTGGAGAAGAGGCAGTGGTGGTCAAACCAAAACATGGCTTCATTAGTCAATCAAATCCACAACAATTAGTTTAAGCCAGTCACGTAGGAAAGTGTAGACTTCCTGGTTGGGGTCCTCGGGACGGTAAACATCAATGGCTGGAAGCAATTGGTGATATGGCTCTAAATCGTTCTCAATGGCTGGTGCAGATGCATCCACTCCCTGTGACTTATAATACCCAATAAAACTATATTGTTCTCGATATTACTATTCTTTTTGCTTCATATCTCGCTTTACTGTATCTATTCTGCGTTTCTTTTTACTTTCTTGTCTGGCTTTGTGTGCTGAATGAAGTGTGGCGACTCGAACTTTTGCACATCGGTGCAAAGTTCTATGTTGAAGCCAGTCAGTCAGACGTTATATTCCTGTCATTTCCCAGAAAACTATCTAACCATAGCTGTAATTCTGTCTTCGATAATTCAAAAGTCATGGGTAAAGCAACAGTATATTTAGTCATCATTTTTCAACAATTACGCAGATCCCTTACTGAGCTAGTTTATCAGAGGTTTAAAAATTTATGCAAACGTTTTCTGGCATTCATTGATAAATAACTACAGAGATTCGTTGGTGACATATAATAGGTCTATCAAAAGAAGAATAAATTTGTACTACTTACACAAGGCTATGACTGATAGGTTTAGGTAGTATCAGCTGTAATAGGAAAATACGCATCTAATAAATATGGTTTAACTGTTTATGTACCTGCACTGTTCAGTTATTGTCATTATAATTTACGCCTAAATTGTAAATTTGGATACACATCTAAGTATTATCCTGAATAAGAGTATTTCGAATGTAAAATATGTGTACAGAAGTCCATATGGCGATAGGTGAAGGTGGATTATGAACAGGAAAGCTTTGTGCGTTTATTGTTGTGTTCGGGTGATTGTTAGCTAACGACTGCCCATACTGTGTGAGCTGATTTCTTCGAGTACCTAAAAAAGGAGTATTAGCATTGCCTAGGGGACAAGTGCTTAGAGCCGGTCACATACACGACGTGTTTTTAGTGATTTTTTAATTTGTGTCTGTATGAAAATCTTACCACTGGGCACAGACCATTAGAAGTGAAATTAGGAAGTACAATTACTGGGGTCAATCTTTACTAAACCCTCTCTGTATAATGGAGAGTAAGCATAGCTGGCTTGCTGGTCGTCTGTCGGGAACAGTTTCGTGCTGCTACACCTCTATTTTCCAGGGTAAGACTTCACCCTCAGACCCTGAACATAGTATGAGCGACTTACACTACGGAGGTGTTTAATTCTTTATGCCCTTAACATATATGTACTTCTTTGTATGTTATTTTGAAATTTGGCATTTTGAACTGATTCGCTGTTGTTTTAACAATGTTCCATCTGAGTAATCAAGGGAAACTCGCTAGTTTAGAATATCACAATAGACGAAAAACACAGCGCTTTGAAAACTAGTTTTAGTAATCAACAAAAATGACAATTATCTGAAACTGAGTTGTTGAATTTGAGTTTCTCGATAGGATGCTTTTATTCTTAACTCTATGTAGATCATTGAAATCCCCTAAAATTTTTGATTTAGTTGATAATTTTGTGTTCTAACGCTTTCGTAGGCCAATTTATTACATTCGATTTTGTCTTCCTTAATAAAAAACGTTATTATTTATCACTTTTTAGCAAATGTATTGATTCTGTGTGTCCCGTTCAATGTCAGGAAGCGTTATTAGTCAACGTGAAGGACAGCCAGTTCTGATCCTCACTTGTCAGCGGGATTCACATCCTTTCCAGGAACGCACTATTATATTAAGTGACGTACTCAAAGTTGGACGGTCTGTTGCTCGTGCTAAACCTGCATCAAACAATGCCATTTTCGATTGTAAAGTCCTGTCACGAAGTCATGCTTTAATTTGGTACAGAGGTGGTCGCGTAGGTTTCAATTACTCTGTTAAATTCATATTTCTTTTTTTAAGTTTTGGTTACGTGATACAAACAGTAGTAATGGCACTTTCGTTAACAGTACACGAATTATCAAGCGAATTGATGAAGAGTATGCTGATCGTGAAATATTCTCCCGTGATATTATTCGTTTCGGTGTTGATGTTGTTGAACATGACAGTAATGCATCGATATTCGCTAACATGTTAATTCTTTAGCTACTCATGGCTGTATCATAGCACAAGTGTCTTTGTACCTTCCGAATGGAGTAGAAGCGAATAAAGGGTAAATAAATTACTTATTATTATATTATATATATTTGCCTTACAGTGTTGAGCCTATTAGCAATAATATTGCTAGTGGTATCAGTACAGTTACTATCAATAGCGAGCAAATGTTCCGTCTTACACATTATATCGGCGTATGTTCTTGCTCTTCCACTCATGCCTTACTTATTTGTTTTTAGGAGGCTTTGTTTCGTGAACAGGTTCTAGATAATAAACTAGAATCTATAAAACAATTATTACAAGAGACACAAGATGTTTCTGAGGCTGGTTGGCAAGTAGGTTACAAAGATTCTGTTATTTTATCACATTTAGGCAATGGTGAATCAAGAACGACTTTTGGAGAAGTTAAGCCTTTATGAAACTGAACTTTCCTTATTAAAACAGGTAGGTGGTAACAGCAACAAATCGTTTCTGTTTTTCTAGTAGATTTTTTTGATACTTTTGATAATATGTACACCCTTGGATTTCATTCATATTGTATTTGTATCATTTAAAAAGGATTTACCAGAAAATTCGTTACAATCGCACTTAGTACAAGTTCTAGAAGAGAAGTTCAACCTTGAACAGGCGAGTAAAATGATGCTGGAACGCCTATTGAATGAGAAAACAGAAGTCTTTAGCAAAGCTACAAATCTTGAGGTATGTTTACAGTTTTTTGCCTTCAAGAGTTACACTTTTTTGTAAATAAATATCATTATTGTGTGATTGCAGGGAATCAAAATTTACAGGTTGGGTGTTTTAATCGTCCTGTTTTGAAAGTTGTATTTTGGTGTGGACATATTTTTTAGGATCATGTCGACACTAAAGTGTGTACATAAATAAATACAATGATTTCTTATTCCTTCATTCCTTCACATTCGGGCTGGAATGTAAGGCTTCATGCTTGATCTTTGAATTTTCAGTAGCGGTGGTCTTTTTTCAGGGTGCGGTCACTAGTCTCATGCCCAACCTCACTCCTTTTTAGGGTTTACCATTATGTAGTAAATTAGGCATGGTTTGGGAGTGCGTCGTTTGGGAGTTAAACCCAGACTGTCTGCGTGGTTGGCGAGGATTCTACAGTTGGATTATCGACGCGCCTTCACTCGTCATGTTGTAGAATCTATCGCGTTTCACTCTTTGACTTAGTTTGCATATTGAGCAATTGTTCGCCTTCATGATTCTCCTTATACTTTGATTAGTATAAGTCTTAGGAAATTCATTTTGCTTTTTTTGAATGTTTAACATTTAAAGGACATTCATGATGCATATTTTAACATGACACAACTTGAGAACGTATAAGTTATGTAAGGTTTATAACCCGTTCTGTTGTATTGTAACAACAAAAGATAAGGGCCAGGCAACATATCGTTTATTAAGGAAATCAACACATATCTATAGATTTTCATGTACATATTATAGATTATTCTTAGCAGAAAAACAGTCCTTTGATTAGTTGTTTCTCACAGAAAGTTAACCTTGCATCTCTTTGTGGTTGTTTCTTGATTGTCACATCATCTATGTGTTAACTGTATCCGCCTACGCAAAACCTTTCTTCTCCTTTTTCTCACAACCAATATTAGGGACATAAACATTGATGTAAATTACTGTCCAATTCTGGCTAACAGCCAGCTCTCACCACAGTATGATTTACTACCTCATAAGACAGGTGAAATGGACGACTACAAAACGTAGTGTGACTAAGCTCCAGTAATGCATATGCAATATAAGGAGTACAACAAGGCTGGCCACCCCGAATTATCACCGATGATACTCTTAAATGTGTTGGACTGGATTATGCGTCAGACTATGGGTAATAAGAAGACAAGAATACGTTGGACCAAAAAATGACTCTAGAAGGTCTGGATTTCGCGCGTGGATGATATATATTTAGTGTCACACAAACTCGAAGACTTGCAGACGAAAACCAACAAGCTGGCTGAAGAAGCTGGCAGCGAAGACTGCACCAGGTGAACATAGAGAAGAGGGGGGTAATGAAGATAACCAACCAATAGCAACAACAATAACCAACACCAATCACCATCAATGGGAGAGATTTGAAAGAGGTTACTTACTTCACGTATCTAGTTGGGAAGCATGGTTTCAACCACAGGCAGTCAGAACGGATAAAAATGTAAAGACAGACAGATTCGGGATGGTAAGGCAGTCACGGAAAGAATTTCCAACAGCCTGTTGCAGACTTTTATCAACAGCTGCCACCTTCACTGGCTTGATACTCAAGGTCAAATGGCCGACTTGCCAGAAAGAATAAGCAACAAGAAACTCTGTCAACAAACCAATCAAGAGCTAACTACTCAACAGATATGTAGGAGAAAATAAAGATGAATAGGGCTTACACTGAGGAGGCTGTCGAATGACATGGCGCGCAATGCTGGCCATCGTTCGAGTGGAATCCCAATAGGAAGTGACCAGTGGGTTGTTGGTGGCAGGGGTCACGTGGAGGAGATCGTGTAAGTTGGAGGAGGAGATGAGAGATTATTTGCAGTCGTGGACCCAGATGTAGAGAGGACAGCAGAAAATAGAACAGAGTGGAGAAGTTTTGTTTAAAGCCCTATATTCCACTCGAAACTCAAGGGGATAATAATAAATGCAGATGCATCCTGGATGCCTTATTTTTATCTAAAGGTTTCATTCATTCGAAGTCTTACTTTCGTGGGCTCACTTAAATTTATTTCAGCTAACTGAAGGGTTTCGTCATGAGCTGATATCAGTTCGAGAACTACTAGAAAACCTGTGATTACTGGACAGCTGTTTCGTCCTAGTTTGGGAATCTTCGGTCGTACCCATCCACCGGAGTTTGATTTCAATTATTTCCATTCTTTATGCCATTGAGTTGTTTTCTTCTGAGTTCTGAATCTAAATAAGTGAAAATACAGACTAATTACACAATCAGGATTAGCTACTATATTGTTTATGTCTTTATCTCTTCCTCCTTTTATTATGCTTCGTCCATTTGCTTTGTCTAACCTATCTTATCACCCCTGTGACGCCGTAATATGAATACATATTGTAATGATTTTAGTTAACACTTTTGCGCAAGTGTTTTTTTACTGCAGTCCACTATTATATAATAATGTCTTAGATCTTACGTAGCCTAGTAAATGTCAAGTCTCATTTTTAAAACATGTGTTTTCCATGATTAATAAGTCAGAGGATTCCTATAAAAATTGAAAGACATTATTACAACCGTTGAGTGTTCATTTTGGGATGGATGCAAATAATCCACAATATAAACGTGGTCGATCAAGTTAGATAAGAGAACAGTTACTCGGCTGCGACATTGTCTGGTTGTTGCGCTAAATTATTTATCGCAAATTAACAGCAGTTGGAAATTTAGTGGTCCATTGCATCCGGGTCCCATTGGCCGAATAGTCTACAAGCTTTCCTTGTTGTAACCGGATGAGGATCCTGCGTTCGAAGTTTGGTAGGCGCGTGCCGCTCTGAATAATCTCGAAATATGTGCTGAAACAGCTGTCCAGTATTCTCTGGCTTTTCAATGTTTCTCTAACTCGTGATTAAACCAATAAGTCATAATTTGTTGAATGTGTTAATTATTTCTTTATCGGTTCATAAATTTTCCCTTAAAACTGTCTTCATATTTTTTATTTTTGTTTAGCATTCTTTAATTGACTCTCAGAAAGAGTGTATTCGTCTTCGTCAGAATTATGAAAGTATTCAAGAGGCTTATCAAAGTTTAGCGAATGAAAGACAAACTATGTTACTTACAAAACAAGGATCAGAGAAACAATTAACGGTGAGCTTTAATTAATTAATTAGTTGTGTTTAACCTCATGTTGTTGTTGTTCTTGTTGTTAAAGATCCATATCGATTAAATATAGTGTGTAAGTTATTAGCGGATATAGGGTCAGGCTGGAAAAAAGCTAGCGGCGGTCAAACAAAAACTTGGCACCAGTCAATGAAATCCACAACAGTTGGTCTAAGCCACGTAGGAAGGTGTAGACTTCCAGGCTGGGGTCCTCGGGACGGTAAACATCAATGGCTGGAAGCAATTGGTGACGTGGCTCAAAATCGTTCTCAGTGGCGCAGATGCATCCACTCCCTGTGACTTATGATCTTCAATGAAACTGTTTTGTATTTCTTTATTACTCCTTTGTCTCACACCTCTGCTCACTGTTTCTATTATGCTTTTCTTGTACTTTCTTCTCTTGCTTCGCGTGCTACACGGAATGTGGCGACTTGAACTTCCGCACATTTGTGCAAAGTTCTATGTCGAAAACAGACAGACAGTGTAAGTTATTAGAACAAATGCTATTTGATTCTGGTTTCTAATAGCACACGCCTCTCTTTCACCCGGGGGAATATGAATACCACCGTACGTCCTCACTCTCAAAGCCTAACTGATGGATAGCTTTTGCGTAGAAAACAACTATAAACCGGCTAACGGAATTACGCCATATTTTTCTGTTATCTGCTAATCAATTCATCAGATCGCAGGAGTAATACTCTCCCAACCATTGTATTACTTAATTTGATCATTTGATCAGTATTTAATTGATGGACGGTGACTGGCAGTGGAATCCAGGATGCGCATTTCACCCATTCGGGACTAGTCAGCCGGATGTACCTGCATTTCTCAGTGAGTAATGATGTTCCCATCGAGGCTCGAACCCAGTGGCCATAGTTTCAAACGCCAAAGCGTTATCCATTAGACCACTTGGGCCACGAGAGCCACCTTTTGTGCAACGAGTCATATATTAATTTAATTGAATTTGGGATTTTCCCAGACATTGTCGAAGCATCTACACAAGAAGCCGCCGACATGTCAACCTGAGACCGAGCACTTCAGTCCAATCAATCGACGGGAAAATCTCAAATTCAACTAAATTGATCATTTGATGCTTACTCTGAGGCTATCTAACATGTAAAAATATTTCCGACATACAGGTTCATTCTTGCCAAAAGGTTATGAGTTCAGGTTTATCATTTTATCTGTTGCCCAATGTGCTTTGTGGATTCAAATCCTGCCCCACTTACTTTAGCCTGGGTGATTAGATGGTATCATTAACCTTCACGCACACAAGAATTTGTGCTTTATGGTTTGAAATTAGAAAAAAAATGAGCGGACTAGTAACATCCAGTTACATTGACGGGATGTAGCTAAAACAGATTTATCTTCGCTAGTCACCTTTCCTTTTTCGGCATTGTGTTTTTGCAACATCTGGAATGAAAAAAAAGAGCATATCTTTTGAAGTGATTACAGGCCATATTATTGTCTATATATATATATATATATATATATATATATATAATATCCGTGGTTTTTTAAACAGCAAACTAGTCAGTCAATTTCTAATAAAAAACGACCCCACAAATAAGCTGGATTTCATGACTCATTTTCATTTTTGTAATCGTTTAAAAATAGTATTGCTGTAATCCCTTTTAAAAAAACGAGTCATGCTGTTTAAAATCTGTGATTGTTGATTTTGAGTCACGTAGACGGTGTAGACTGATTATCAATCAGGTTAGTGATATAGAGCTCAAAGTCATTCTTAAATTACACAAATGCCTTCACTCATTGCAATCTTTCAGATCCACTTAATCGTCATGTTTTCCCATGTTTACTATCCAGTTAGTTGATTGAAGTATGATGACATAACCAAGTCTTAAATTTGGACAGGATGTGTTTGTGTGTGTGTGTGTGTGTTTGTAAGACAGTTATCATGTAATAATTATTTTTCTGTGTTTAAAGTTTGTTTATGGCTGATATCGGGATTTGCTGCGACTATCCCTAACTTTTTTTCTAACTTGATCCTATGACAGCTAATATTACTCATCAAGGGTGACAGTGGTTCGGCGTAGGTAACATATGTCCCAGTCATTTCAATCTACGTTGCTTTACAACCTTATCGATTGACCTCCCCTCCTTACCTAACTCTCTACACCTAACCTCAATATTACTCATCATGTTACACCACTTAACATGGAAGAGAGGACACAGACACTTATGATCATAGACAGCTAGCTATTTAATGTCTTCTACTTTCAATGACCAAAGGAGGACACAGCGAACTCTCACACAGTACACACCTTTAATCGATGTCTACTACTAAACTACTACTAGAACTTCAAACCTGAGTTCGAATTGTGACTGAACTTCTTAATTTGTTCAAACAAAATTTACTAAAGCATTATAAATTAAAAGAATATTGCTTTGGAATGTTTCCTGAGATTTTCCTTGCTATGTGTGTATAGTATTCCAGCGCAAACTTATCTCCTCAGGTATTTTCTCGTTAAATACCTTATGTATGTTTGTAGGTATTTTGACAACTTTTTGTGTCTGAGTGTGTGTGTGTGTGTGTGAAATATCCTTCACTTGTGTCGTTATTTATTTCCGTTATATCTTAAAATGAACGTCTGTATAACTAGGGCTCACTTACGCTTAGGTGGTGTAAGATTCTTTTCTGAGACCCACTGGTTGTTACAGCTGACTGCTTAAACACATTACTAATTTCCAATTGATAAAAAAATTCTTAGTTTTTCTCTTGCTCATCATGTTTATTTGCATTGCAACTTATTTATTCTTTTGGTTTTCAATCAATATACAGGAGGATAAAGTAGAGAAATTAGAATCAAAGGAAACTCATTGGGATAATATGCAAAAGGGGTGTAACGACATTCGGAAAAATTATGATGGTGATGCACTTAAGGATAATATTCATGATGACGGTAATAGTTTTCAGTTATATATATAACCATTTGCTATATGTATGCAAACATTTAACAAATGTGGTTTAACTGTGTATTTACTTGCATTGCTTGGTTATTGTCATTATTATTTTCTCCTAAATTGTAGATTTAGATGCACATTTAAGTATTATGCTAAATAGGAATATTTTAGATGTAAAATGAAGGTGTGTGGTGATTAAGAAAAGCTTTGTGTGCTTATTGAAGTGTGTGCTTGTGTGGCTATTAGCCATCGGTCGTGTCTACATTGTGGAATTTGATTTCTTGTTGAAATATCTGAAAGAGAAGGAGGAGTAGTGTTATGTGAGGCAGGTTACACACACACGCACTGTTTGAAGTGGTTCTGTGAGTTGTGTCCTTTTATGAAAATCTTACCAATGACCACAGACTATTAGAAGTGAAAATGAGATGTGTACAATTTCCGGCATTGATCCTGTCTAACTCCTTCTTCCGCATTAACGGAGACTAAGCTTACCTGGCTTGCTAACCGCCTGTTAGAAACTGTTTCGTGGTGTTAGTTACATCTCTATTTTCCAGTAGTACGACTTCGTCCTCAGACTCGAAACATAGTGTGAGTGAATTACTACATTATGATGGTAACTGCTTTTAGACTGACTGCTATCCGGACGACTTTTCTGGCGTAGTAGACCCTTCAGGAACATTCGTCTCAACCAGTTGAGTTCCTTGAATCATTACAATATGTAAGCCCGACCATAAAATTGTTTTTATTTCTTTTTCACATCTAATCTGATTTATTGTTTGCATTTTTTAAAAATGTAGGATAAATTTGGTTTTGACATCAAAATTTTGTGTGCTATGTGCCACTTCCTCAGTTTTAAAGTCTAGATTTGTTCATACTACCAAAGGAATAATTTCATTTCTGATTACAAATGCAACAATAGCTCTTTTTATTGTATGTAGGTGGAAACAGTCAAAAAGCAGGTTTTGATTTTATAACAGTTCTCCTTATCCTTACATTTGTAGTGACTTCTGACAATCGAAGTAATAGGTTATTATTCGCCATTGGTTTTATTTTTATTTTTTTTTATTTTTGATTACAGCTTGATTCCACACTGTATTTTTGGTACAAGTATGGAATTTTCAGCATGGATATCGGTAGCCCAAATTTCTCAGGTCGACCATAGATATCAAGGTGTGCGTCGGCGTGGGCTCTCGAACCCCGGACCATGTGCATGGTCGGTGAGAGTCCTAACCACTGTGTGTCTGTTTAGCGCTGTTAGCTTTCGATGAAGTCAGGAAGTTAGTGGTGTCGGCGCTAAAAATGTAGCACTCCAAGTGAAGAAGCTAGCGTCCGTTGCTTAGGCTATGGTGAACCTGGACGGGAAACGACGAGTTGGGCGTCCGTAGGGGGTTATGGATGAAAACTTGCGAGGAGATGAGAGCCTATAGGCAATCATGGGGACAACTGAAGAGGACTGCAGGGAACAGGGAAAGACTGGAATTGGGCTGTTGTAGTCCTATGCTCCACTTAGAACGCAATGAAACAACAATGATAATAATAATGCTAATATCTACTTAGCCACCGTCCTATAGCTTTACCAGATTATTTCTATTATGTTTCAGATGAGAATATCCTCGTTAATGGCTTGGATAATGGTATTTCAAAGGTTATTGATAATCATGATGGTAAGTAATAATGTTTAAGTTATTTTTAAGTAGCCTTCAGGCAATTATTTTTGTTTAAAAAAATCATTCCCCTGTTGTTTGCTTACCTATTTCACATCGTGAATATCATCCCTGTCAAAATGCTGCCGGTCGTCGATTATTGATGAGTACTGACGTCTGAGATTTGTTTAGAAGATCAACTAATTTCAGTTATCACTTATTACTTTTGATCCTACTAGTGGATTTGATTGCATAAGATAAGGATCATATTGGTCTCCAGTAGTTAAAGTAGAGAGTAGCTATGACTCTCAAAAGTGGCCGAATGCCTCGTTGCATTTCTGAGTAACCGCCGAGTGTCTGACCCTAATCTAGTTACGTCGACAGATACTACGTGGCCCCGCTGGGAAGGATCTATAGTAAGGAGTCCTTGGTGAACTTCTGTTAGAGCGAGGCAGCTGTTTCTCATAGTCGGGAAGTGCCACCCGGACCGCTACTCTGGTTGAGGTGTTTCGGCACCTTGGGGGCCTAATCGGGGTTTTTGTGTGATTGGTAGCCCGACCGTAAAAACCAAGTAAGGAATCTGCTTAGGGGAGTTTCGCATCCCTTTGTTAAAAACTGCATGGGAGCTCGATTCGAATCTTCTGGGTGACCTGTGAGTGTATTACTGTCGACAATAGCCTTTAAGGCGTCGTGGGATTGCGGTCAGTTATGGATTGCATTTCTTAGTAACTAGGAGCGAATGGAGTGTGGCTTGTAATTTGGTAGTGATCTTTTAAACACTGTCCAACGAGGTCATATTGTAACAACAGAAGACAAGGGCCAGGCAACAGATCGTTTATTAAGGAAATCAACACGTATTTATATATTTTCATGTACATTATTATAGCTTATTCAAGCAAGCAAACATAGTCTTCTGGTTGGTTATTTCTCACAGAAAGTTGACCTTGTATCTCTTTGTGACTGTTTCTTGAATGTCAGGTCATCTATATGTTAACAGTATCTGCCTACGCAAAGTCTGCCGTGATTGGTTGTTGAATCAGTCTTTTTCATATTTTCTCGTGACCAATATTTGCGACATAAACATTGACGTAAATAATTGTCTACCAATTTGGCTAACAGCCTGCTGTCACCACAATATAGCTCAGGTTGGTGACGCGACCTCCATTTGCGCGGGCACACAAGTGTCGGGATGTCGCCAAGTTTTACACATATATTAATGTCGCCCACGACTTATTGGAAGCAACGCAGCCGTAGGTGTAACCGCCCGCGGTCCGGGTATCCAGCCTCCGAATACCACCTAACCACTTATGTTTCTTCATTTCGAGAGGAAACATATGACCGTTGCCTCTACAGCTGGGAGCATTCGGGTTGCAGGTGGCTCAGATGTGGACCAGTGTCCATGAACCATCAATTGGGACCATGAGGACGGAGCCACCGCAGAGTATTCTCGGCATTCAAGTTTTTATATCCGCCCTGTTGCAGGAATTGACCCATCCTCGAGGGTAATGGCTGTGTTTGTGACCGACAAGTTAGTTGTGCATTTATGAACCTCTTCATGAGAGTTGTCATTATCTACTGAGATGGAGCAGTAATAACACCAACCAATTTTCGGCAAATAAGCAGTATCGTTCGGGTGCTCATACAACAAAATGAATGTACCTTATAACCTGGTACTTTGAGAAAACTCCCTTCCGTATTGATCGGCTTCTAACCAAACTACTCTTTGCATAGAATTATGATTACCTGATATCATGTCGGTTGTCATTTATTATATTACACGATATATACACAATATGTCTAGAAATACCCAACCTCTAGTTTGCCTAATTTCAGACTCCATTTAACTTGATTTTTTAATTCACGCATTTAACCCTTTTTTATTTTCAGAAAAATTAAATAATGATGCTAACCAACGACTTAGTGCTGTGGATAACATTGCTCAACCAGAAGTATTGGAACCCGATAGCTTCTGTGAAAGTGAAGGTAACTGATGTATTGAATTATATATATATATATATAGGGCGTAGAGATGTTGCCAAAGTTTGTGCCTGTCTGTCTGTCTGTGCTTTTGGAAGTGTGTGGGTGGTTGTTACTTCCCGGCTGCCCACACCGTGGAAGTTGCTTGATTCTTCGGGTGCCTAAATCAGAGAGAGGGTTAGTGTTGTGTGACCGCAGAGCTCAGGGAACAACTGCTTGAGGCCGGTCACACACGGCCTGTATGAACTAGTTTCTGGGATTGGTTCCGTATTAGTAAACTTACCGCCGGTGACGCACCCACCCCACCTTAGGTGGGGTAAGTCGTGATGTACAATTTCCGGGGTCGACCTTTTCTAACCCCCTACCTCCGGAGTGGAGAGACAGCATAACTGGCTGGCATGCTGGTCATCATCTGCTGTTACTCCCCTGTTCCCCAGCAGTACGACTTCGCCCTCAGACCCCCAGCATAGTGTAAGAAATATTCTTACACGATGCCGGTAACTGCTTTTAGTCTAATCGCTATCCTAACAACCTTCCTGGCATGGTAGGATCTGCAGGAACATATGCTCCAGCCAGTGTAACTGGTTGGGTCATCGCGATGTGCAAGCCCGACCATCACTTCAAGGTAGCAGCTATCGGTTGGGAAAGAATTAAAGTTTGTCAAATTTAGAGTGTATAGTTTATGTTCTAATGATATATTTCGCACCATATTGCTTGTTGTTCGCACTTGCTTTGTATTATCATCACTTAGCAAATATTACCAGTTAGTGATATGTAGGCAAAAATATGATGTCTAGACTAACTGCACGTACAACAACAACATCCTTAGTTGAAACTCTTCATCGTCTTGTTGACTTGCTTTAATGTTTACTTATATAATCGTCCAATGAGTGTCACTTCATCTGAACGTGTGATGTATGTTCAGTGAGAGAAATGAATCAAAAAAGTGTTTGTACAAGCCTTTTTAAATCCATTATTGAAAACAGTAATCAACTCGTGATGTTTTGTTAGCCTAACCAGTCATAGACTTTTTTAAAAAAAAGTTATGTTGTTCGCTTACTTCGTTAGTTATGTCACTGGATAGTTTGTGTGTGTATGGTTTTTTTGGCAGAGTTAAACATAATAGCTATCCAAGTAATGCAAACGCACGATTAACCTTGAGGCAACCAATCACGATTACTGGTGTTGTTTTTCTTTTTTTACATAGAAATACAGTTTGTTTACTAGATCAGTGCAGATAGCAGTTATGGGCAGTCTAAATCTATTTGCTAGAAAAATACGGATAATGCAAATAAAACATCCTAACCCTAAGAGTGGTTGTAATCTCAATCCAAACCTTAATACCTCATAACTGCTAACTCTGGTTGTGACTCTAATGCGAACTATCAACCCGTTACCCAAACAGTACTTAAAAATGGGATTGAAATGAAATTAGCACCTCAGTCATAGTTCTTGCGTAGCGGTCATAGTGGCTCTACAATAATTGTGGGTCCCGTTACCCAGGGAATGGTTTGTGTCCAAGGTCATTGATGCGTCCGCACTCCTGGATCGTTATTCTTTAACTTGACCATTTTTCTGTCTGTTATCAGAAGTCAGCACAGAAAATAGTGATAAATTTGCTCACATACAACACACAAACACTCAAAAACACCTTGGTTAAAAACCAGATTTCTTTTTATAGCTTTTTTCGGCTTGTTGTGTACTGATTTTATATCGATTTGTTTCCACAGTTATTGAAGGTTCACATAATGGACCAACATCCGATGAAATACATGAAAGTATCCGACTTTTCAGTCATTCTGCCCAAATCATTAAATCGTTACAGGGTAGGTGTATGCTGTGTATTTTGGTAAATTTTTCCTATTTGTTTCAATTTACAATACACTTATCCTTGTTTACAAGATTTATTAATTTGAACATTAGGTCACTAATGTCATGTCATTTTGTTTGGTACAGACTGAATTCTATCAGTCAAGTATGCAGTTTGTGTGCAGTAGTATAACTGAGGTGATCCTTTTGTAAGAAGTCAGAGAGTCTTCACAACTGATCAATACACTTTTGCGTTTTGAGGAAAATACTTTATCAACATTCACGCACATTACCGATTAAACCAACAGGACTCTGTTTTTACATTTTATTGTCTATATTTCTGTCAAATATTCGAGAAACACCTGATATTGTCAGAGGGTTTGACTGGTTATACATAGATCTGAGAGTTATGTCAAAGATTTTTACCTGACAAAAGCCAAATTGTACGCTTGAAATATTTAGAAATATACCACAGTAAAATATGACACCCTAAAGTAGATAGTTAGATATTATCTCATAATATAAAATAAAGTTTTAACAAGTGTGAAAGTCAGTACTTACCAAGGTAGTAATAAGGTAGTAACAGTCTCTTTCTGCTCACACAATTCAGGTTTTATTCTCCAAATGATCACATCTTCAGAAATTCGAAATAGTCATAAAGTACTTCGTCTGTTCAACACTCTAAAAGATTCCACCATGTTGATTTGGTGTCCTGTATCAGTCCCATAGCTAGGCATCTTGCTTATCTCTGAAGTAGACGTGATATCCGGCTGTCAACCAAAGGGCGGGTGTACTGCTCATCAGTCCGCTCCTTCCTCCTTTATGGCTGTGAGACCTGGTCATTGAAAGTGGGAGACATGAAAAGAACATCTGTCTTTGATCATAGCTGCTTGCGTTCTATCTCCTGTGTGAATTGGTATAATAGGGTGAGCAATATTGAGGTTAGGCGTCGAGTGCTAGGTAAGGAGGGGAAATCGATCGATGAGGTTGTGAAGTTACATAGACTGAGATGGTTAGGACATGTGTTACGTATGCCTAGCCATCTCCTTCTTCGATGGGCAATGTTAGCTGATATAGGGTTAGGTTGGAGAAGAGGCAGTGGTGGTCAAACCAAAACATGGCTTCATTAGTCAATCAAATCCACAACAATTAGTTTAAGCCAGTCACGTAGGAAAGTGTAGACTTCCTGGTTGGGGTCCTCGGGACGGTAAACATCAATGGCTGGAAGCAATTGGTGATATGGCTCTAAATCGTTCTCAATGGCTGGTGCAGATGCATCCACTCCCTGTGACTTATAATACCCAATAAAACTATATTGTTCTTCGATATTACTATTCTTTTTGCTTCATATCTCGCTTTACTGTATCTATTCTGCGTTTCTTTTTACTTTCTTGTCTGGCTTTGTGTGCTGAATAAAGTGTGGCAACTCGGGTTTCTGCACATCTTTGCAAAGTCCTACGTTGAAACCATTCAGTCAGTCACCTGGCTGATACCAAACCATCTAGTTAATATTACAGTTTATATATGACATCGTATGAAGAAAATTGATTTACTATACACAAACGTTACATTATTAAATATGATGTGTTTGCATTGTTTATAGTTCAAGCTAAGTAATGATATATGGCTCATTGGTCTAAGTACTTGAAAGTTACAGTCAGTAGATTCGGGGTTAGATTTCCTCTCTCCACTTATTTCAGTCTTGACAACTAGGCACTCACTAGACTTGTGTGGCGCTCATATCCTTCTCATAAGGAAGCTTTGTTTGCGATCAATTGTTGCACTTATTGATTTTTTGTCTTATAATTTTATGCTTCCTCTTGCTATATATTATTGCATTAGAGAAATAATTCATAGTGGCGTTTCCAATTTTATTTGTCTAGTAATTAGCATATTCACAATATGGTTTTCAATCCACGTTTTTCAATTTTTTTCAATTTTTATTTATTGAATAATTTAGATGAACTGAATATTTTAAACAAACTACACAGATCAGATTTATCAACTCCGTCATTACCGGTGAAAATGGAGTCATTGAAAAATAAACCTGATTCTTTAGATTCACTAACTGACAGTGTTGTTGTTAGTACAGAAAGAAATACAGAAAATCTTAAATACGATTTAGTAAATTGTTGTAAAGACCAAAGTTTTGAAACAGCACTACAACGTGCTACAAAGTATGCAGCATTAATTGGCAAATTTCAAGATCGTGTTAATGTTTACTTGAATTCTTTGCCTACTTCACACAATCAACCTGATAGTAATAATACAGATGCTGTCAACAGCACTAGTAAGTATTTGTTTTTAAAAAAAAGTCGTCTTCATCATGATTATTATTGAAATTTCTTTCTTTTTTCACTAGGTGGTTAGTTTATTCTTTGCGTATACTGTTCACAAAATAAAAGTAGTGTATACATGAAATTGTGTGCGTCAGCAGTTCACTGGTAGGTTTACTAGTCACTCCAGGGCCCGGCGGACAACTGCTACCTTGCTGTGGTGGTCGGTGTGGTATGGTACGTGCTTTGCGTCGTCTAAGTGCAAATTGCTGTTACAAGATTGGTAGGAGCCTGTACCTTGCGGGTGAACCGCTTGAAATTGTTGATAAGTTTGTGTACCTGTGGAGTTGTGTGAGTGCTGGCGGATGGGTGACGGATGAGATTTCCAACCGTATAATGAAAGCTAGGGTGGCATACATCAACTTGAGCCACCTCTGGCCCCGTCGCAACGTCAGCCTGGCTGTCAAAGGTCGGGTATACAATGCTTTGGTGAGGGCTGTCTTGCTCTACGCCTGTGAAACCTGACCTCTCCGAGCAGAGCGGCGGCGACTCTGCGTGTTTGATCATCACTGTCTCCGCAGGATTGCTTGCGTTCGATGGCACCATCGCATGAGTAATTCCGAGGTTCGGTGGTGTGTGTTTGAACACATTGGAGATCACCATTCATTGAGTGTCGTTATCTGGAAACATCAGCTCTGGTGGCTTGGATGTGAATGTCATTCCAGAGGCATCCGTACAGGTCTCTGTTCGCTAGCCCTGGGACGGGATGGAAAAGGTGGAGGAGTAATCAGTCCATGACATCTGTCTGTTTGGATTCAACATAGAACTTGGCACCAAAGTGCAGCAGTTCGAGTTGCCACGTTCCAAATAGCACACAGAGGTAGACAAGAAGATGAGTGAAGAGAATCAATAGAGTTTGACAAGTATAAGAGTGAAACAGAATGGGTAATGGTAGAAAGGAATATGAAAGATTACAGAGACTGAATACATCTGCGCTGGCCATTGACAACGATTTTGAGCCATGTCACCTATTGTCTCCAGCCATTGATTCCTAGAGTCCCGAGGGCCCCAACCCGGAAGTCTGCATCTCCCTACCTGACTCAGTTTAACTGTCAAGGATTTCATGGATTGATGCCATGTTTTTGTTTGGCCACCACTGGCTCTTTTCCAACCTGAACCTATATCAGCTAGTAATGCCCGTCGGGGGAGGCGGTGGTTAGGCATGCGCAGCACGTGACCTAGCCATCTTAGTCTATGTAACTTTATAGCCTCGTCGATTGATTTTCCCTCTTTGCCCAACACTCTACGCCTAACGTCAACATTACTTACCTTATAAAACCACCTAACGTGAGACAGAGATCGCAGACATCTATGATCGAAAGCAGTCAACCTTTTCATGTCTTCAACGCGTATTGGCCATGTTTCAGAGCCATAGAGAAGGACGGAGCGAACTGATGAGCAGTACACACGTCCCTTGGTTGATAACCGGATGTCACGCCTACGCCAGAGATGGTGTAAGTCAGCGAAAGCAGCTCGAGCTTTTCGGATCCGTGCTGAGATTTCATCGCCAATCAGTCCGTTGGTGCTAATACAACTTCCCAAATAGGTGAAGTGGTCAACATGTTCTATCACTTCACTCCCTATCACTAAGTTAGGAGTTGACGTGTCCAGTCCTGTAGCAGCATCTTACATTTTGCAGGGGCGAATCGCATGCCAAACATACGAAGATTGCTGCTCAAGGTGTTCAGAAGACTCTGCATTTTGTCAGCATCCTCCCCTAACAGGACTATGTCATCTGCATATTCTAAGTCCATAAGACTATTCCCTGGTAACAAGTCGATTCCTAAGTCATTACGTTCAGTTAAGGATACTTCCATCAGCATATCTATGATGAAGTTAAACAGAAATGGGGAAAGTGGACATCCCTGTCGGACACCACTGGTTGTTACCAATTCAGATGACAATTCCCCATAAGCCCTTACACGACTACGTGAGTTTGAATAGAGTGCCTTGATTAGTGCAATGTACTTTCTTGGCACTCCCTTCACAGTCAGACATTGCCATAGTACCTTTCGATCCACGGAGTCGAAGGCCGCCTTCAAGTCAAGAAATATGACAATTGTTGGACGCCGAAAAGTGTGTCTATGTTCTAGAATCTGTCGAAGAGTGAAGATATGATCTATGCACCCTCTACCTGGTCTAAAGCCTGCTTGATTTTCCCTTGTCTGTTCCTCCCGAGTTCTGCTTAGTCTATGCATGATTACTGAGCCTAGGATTTTAGAGACTATGTTCGTTAGGCTGATCCCCCTATGATTATCACACGAGGACTTGTTTCCCTTCTTGAATATCGGTATAATAAGTGACTTACCCCAGTCTGATGGTACTGTCTCTGATTCCCAGACTTTGCCTAGTACCTCAGTTAATCTACAAACTAGTATGTCACCCCCATATTTAAACACCTCCGGAATAATTCCGTCGGGTCCTGCCGCTTTGCCTCGTTTCAAATTACTGATAGCTTTTGTGACCTCACTTACAGACGGCGGACCAGTGTCTATATCCCATTCGGGTGTGTGTGGATGTCGGGGAGGTTCAGTGTGGCTGTAGGCAAGTTAAATTGTCCTCAAAGTGTTCTTTCCAGCGTTCAAGGCGTCTATCCTGAGAGCTAATTAAGGAGCCATTTTTCTCAGAAATAGTCTCACTTATGATTGCCTTCTCCCCCCGTTTCCCTGATGAGTCTAAAGAGTTGCCTAGTGTTGCCTATCGCCGATGCTTTTTCCATCTCTTTCGCCTTTGTCACCCACCACTGTTCACGGTCCTTGCGGAGACTTTTAGTAAGTTTCCTTTTGTGCAGCTTTCGCTCCTCATTGAATTCGGAGCTCGCCGGAATAAGTCTTCTAGCATCTATCAGTTCGGATGAGGCAGTCGAAATCCAGTGGTTTTTACTCACCTTTGGATTTACCTTATTCACAGCTTTTACAGCTGTATCTATGGCTGACTGAATATTCTTCCAGGCTTCTCAGGGTGAGCACAGCTGTCGAACTCAGATATGCGTTTAGCTAGTTCTTCCTCAAATAGGGATTTAGTTTCCTGATCGAGCTGGGGACGTGATGGTTTTACCGCCAGCTGTTTCCTACGTCCGTTCAGTCGTAAGCACACACGAGCGCGGACCATTGCGTGATCGGAATCTACACACGTGTTCCAGAAGGAGCGACAATCTTCTACCGACCCACGCTAACGATAGCTTACTGCTATGTGGTCCATGACGTGGCGTCGTGGGATGAAGGATTTTTGTGCTAGATTAGCATCGGTTGGTGTGTCACTACCTCCTTGGCTGGGGCTCGCGAGATAGCTCGAATCGAAGGCTCGGAACGTTATCGGATATGGGCAAGAATCGTAATCAATGGCGAACGTGTTGCGATTTCCTTCTTTCTTCCCTTCCCGATGATAGTTAACGAATACTGTTTGAACTTGTTAAGCATGACTGTTTTCCTTCCAGATGAAGTTCTTTATCCGTTCTCTACTTATATATTCTTTACTTTTAATCTATATTGTTTTATTATTATTGTTTGGCTCATCTTTCTTGGTGCCATATTTTGCCATGTTTTTTCTGCGTTTAAATAAAAAAATAAAGTCACTCCAGGAGGTGGGATGTCAGGGTTCGATTCACCAAAGATGCACTCCTATACCTCATCTAGTTTACTAGCTTGTAAAAAAAGGATGGTTGGGTGTACGGTTAATGACTCTACCTCAGAAAATCAATCCATTCGCTACAAAAACTTCAAGGCGTGACACAAATATCAAAAACAAACTTGTTTTTCTCTGGAATCATAGAGACAAAATGACGCGGACTGGCGAGTGCCTTTGGGAAGCCAGTCAGTCGACGTGGGAACCTGTAATGTTGTCAACGGAAAAAAATTGAAAGAAGTCGCTTCCTTCAGGTATATGGGAACCACCTTTCCAACTACAAGTGACAGCATGGATGATGATGTCAAAACCAGAATCGCGAAGGCAAGACCGACTTTCATCACACTGAAATCAGTTTGGGAATCTTTTTTACTCAGATTTTCAACAGCAATACTAAGTCACTATTTTTATATGGTTCCGAAAATTGACGCGCGCATCAAGAAAAGCATTTATAAACAGATTGCAGACATATCAACAACCAGAAAGAATTAGCAACAAGCAACTGTGGAAATAAACCAATCAAAAACCTGTTGTTGAACAAATATTCGAAGAAAATGGAGATGTTTAGCTGGTGGATGGTGACTGGCAGTAGAATCCAGGATGCACATTTCACCTGTCCTATTTGGCACTCGTCCGCCATCTGAATGTACCTGCATTCCCCAGTGAGTGATGATGTTCCCACCGAGACTGGAACTCACTGGGGGAATGCAGGTGCATCCATCCGACGAGTCCCAAATAGGACGCGTCCTGGATTCCACTTCTAGTCACCACCCACCAATTAACTTCTAACTATACTCACCCAGACATCGTCGAAGCATCTACGCAAGAAGCCGCTGACATGTCAACCTGAGACCGAGCACTTCAGTCCAATCATTCGACGGGAAAATCTAAAGTTCAATTAAAAAATGGAGATTGATTAGACACACTCTAAGGAGACCGTTAGATGAAATCGCGCTTGAGTCCCTTAAGAGGAATACGAGTGGAAAATGGCTAGTTGCGCGTCCGAAGGTAACACGAAGGAGGTCGTCGTGTGAAAAGGAGATAAGAAGTTTACAGGCAACCGTTAGGCCAGCTTCAGAGAACCGAATGAAGTAGGGATGTGCTTTTGAAGCTCTGTGTTCTACTCGGAACCCACTTCATTTTATCCAATTTGTTCTAATGTAACTATTTTTTTCTAGCCATATACACCTGCTTCGTGATATTACTAATTGTAATAATAGGGAAAAATGAATTATTTTATAAAAGATGGTTACATAACTGCAGGTTTTGTAATCTGCTTCACCTGTCGATTGATTAAATATAATCTCTTTGATGTCAACTATATTAGGTACATACATACATACATACAGTTACCATTCGTTTCTCTTCCTGCTGTTATCACAATCGTGTTTGTCTATTCCGATGTTCAGTTTTATAGGATATCGATTATAGAAGAAAAAATTAAACGAGGAAAATATCTCTTTTTTTATCAAAGTTATCAAAAAGGCTTTACATTCGCGAGAAAGTTACAGAACTATCTCCGATAAGAGGTCAAAATAACAAGATGGGGTTATGAAGTAAAAACAAGGATTTGAAAAAAATGAAAGTGGAAAATAAATTTGGTATCCGGATAAGAAAACATTAATAATGATTTTCTTGAGAGAAAACAAACTGTTTATGATAGCCAGTCATCGTAAAGACAGGGGTTGGACGTACTTCTTTTGAATGCGTGGTGATGACTTGAATTGATTCCCCTTGAGCGGTTTGATCTGTTCGTGTATACAATGTCCTGAGTTTTTACCGACTGAAATATACTACGGTGAGTTGACTGATTTCCATAGTATCAAGTCAACTGGTATCTGAATGTTGTTGTAACCCTAATGCGACAGCTTGCCTTTCACAGCTCTTTGGCCAAATATTTTTTTTCTGAGATGAAAATGTTATTCTTAGACCTGGCTGGCGACAAAGTGATGTTTCATCGGTTAATTTCGAAAGGTGTTTTCAGGAAATTTTGGAGAAAATATGATTCTTTGGGTATATACAATACAATCAGTCATTACTGTTTTGTACAGTTTTTACACTTGAGTGGTTTTATTAATTACTTTCTTTTTAACAATCTAGCTGATACCTATGCTCCTACAAGTGCTCTAGTAAATGACAATATAATCAAAAAGGATGCTAGTATCGAAACAGAAACATATTTTGATGGACCGATTTGCTCAAAAGTTGAATTGAATCACCTGGAGACGTCTGTATTAAGTAAACATTCAGGTGTTGGAGAAGAAAAACCAGAAGAAGGCGCAGAAGTTTCAAAACTCCGTGGTGAGTATAACACAATTTTTTTTGTGTTCACCTGACGACTAATAGTTGATAAGCATATATTATTTTACGCTGTATATTATACAGTTTGGATACCTTGTATGCTTGTATTCAGTGTATTTTAACTATCGATAATGTATGGAATAATGCCACGTAATACTTTTTATTTCATCATAATTCGAGTTGCAGGTTTTAGTGTATTAGAAAGATTTATTTCCTGATACGAATTAAAAACAAGCAAGAAAGGTTAGTAAAGCAGGCTTTAATGAATTCATCACATTTCGGTAGAACTCTTCAACTGAATACTCTACATACAGGGATAAATGTATACTATTGGAAGTACATTGGAAGATATAAGATTTATAAGCGCAAGTAAACTACATTGGAGTAATCATGCAAAATGACACGTGTGAATGTTTTCCAGCTCATGTTTGAATGGATGAGGAGAAAGGAGTGTAAGTGCCGAAGACTCACATCTAGGTAGGCCCTAACGTCAGCACCTAAACTTGTTTCCCTTGGTTAGCTCTGGTTTGTACGCTACCTATCGTGTATGTACTGATGAGTAAAGTCCAGGTACAAGGCTTATGCACTGTTGCGTTTCTTGATGCCATGTGCGAGCAGTCACGCTAAAAAACAAAAGATGACGTGGCGCCATAGTAAATGAATGCGTTAAAACAAAAGTCCAAACATTAGTATAAGAGATTAAAATTAAGATAAAATGCATTAGGCTCCAATCACATAACTTTTGTACACAGAGGCCTAGTTTATAAACTCTAATTTCACAAGCCTCCGCACTTTCAAGCGATCTTGTTTCTTTATCTGTTTGCTGACGACAATGAATGACTTGATAGCGTCGATATCATGTCCGTAGTGCACAAGATGTTGTTTTGTTGGCACTTTGCATTCAGCTGTTTTCAATCACTTTGGCAAATGCGCTCCATCATGCCAGTAGACAGTTGCCTTTCTGTACAACCTATGTATTTGCTTCCACAAACACTCAAATTGATTATACACAGTTTGAAGTGTCGAATATTAGATGACAATTTTCAAATATTTGAATTTGCAGTGTGTATTAATCATTTTAATTCAAACATCAACTTGGTACTTTGTGGATACCAAGAGATGCTCCACAGAACAATAATAAAACAACAGTATGCGTAGAAAATAGGGATAGAATAAGTGAGGGACGTCATTCAAAAAGCAAATATGATTGTGTTAAGATATGTTAGCATTCATCTTACCTTCAGAAAAAGAAGAGAAAAAAAATAAATTGTGGCATGTCCTCCATTGTTTGTGACTTTTGACCGTATCTAATATCGTTTCGAGCCACCGATGCGATCTGGCTGTTGGATCCAAACCAGGCAGTTGTGATTTACCCACAGGTACTGACTGGACACAAGCCATCCTTCACTCTAAAGGCTCCAGGTCATAGACTGACCAACTCTCCGCTCTTTCCATTCGGCGCCTGGGCTAGCGAACAGCGGCCGGTACGGAAGCCTCTGGCATGACATTCTTAGCACATATCTAAGCCAACGAACCTGGTGTTTCAAGATGACTACAGTTAGAAGTTGCAATGTGCAACTAAGACACATCAAAGTAGAGATTAGGGAAGAATTGTTAAACGACTGATTGCCTCTCCATATTCTTAAATGTTCTGCTCCACGATAACCTACTCTCTGTGTTGTTTTATTATTTTTCACCTAGCTGCTTTGATGGAGTCTTCAAAGGAGATTGAAGAGTATAAACAACTAACCGATGATTTACGTACTCAAGGTAAGTATCTTCTTCTCGATTGTTTATTTTTTTTGGATGTTTTTTAAAATGATAAAACTGTTCCATCACCTATATGCTTTCTTTACCGTGTTTAAGGATCAATACATTACGTATTGCTCGTACTGATTACAGTTAATTATTATTTATTTAATAAAACACACACTTGGTAAACTACTGGCACCGAAGTACGAACCACACAAAATCTCATAGTTTCTGTGAGAACTAAGATACTATTACTCGAACACCCAGACCGAACCAAGTGGTTGTCTTAAGAAGCCCCTCTCGAGTCTTTGATTTGAAGCCATTGATCTACAACTCGATGGATAAGCGTCAGAAGCTGCGCTCCCGTAGTTTCGGGTGACCGATTTGGGTCCATTTGCCACTCGATTCTTTCAGATTATGTAACCCATGTACAACTTTTTTTCCAGCCCACCTAGGTAGGCGTGCATGTCTACGGGTTCAGTTGTAATCGCCACACGTTCGAATTCGCCTTTCGTCTTTCTTTTAGGAACACCGCTGTCGCGTGAAGGTAGTGAATGGGACTTACCTGGCAGAGGTTATGAAGATATGGTTGCATGAGAGTATTTCTTGAGCAACACCGAAGTTTACTCAACCTCGGACGTATTAGGTCGTTCATGGAGGTTTTTAAATTTCAAATTGAAGTTGATCACTTACACCATTTTTGTTTGTGACTTGTATGTTTTGAGTGTAGAACAATAAAATGAATCGCGTAGGCTAACTAATTAAGTTATATCAACCAGGTGTATAGTTGAGTTAGCTATCTTGTTTTTATTTATACTTTTTTGTCTATTCAAGCAAGCCATATCTCAGAAATCACTACAAGACTCTTCAAACCTTTAGGAGTTGACGTCGTACACAAACCAACAAAGTCGCTTCACTCGATTCTATGTCAACCAAAAGACTCAACAGCGAAAGAAGATAAAACCAACATCATCTACAAAATAAACTGTAACAACTGCGAAAAACACTACATCGGCCAAAGTGGACGTCCCCTTCGTCTTCGTATCCATGAACATAAGCTAGCCGTCAAAAGACATGATATCCACTCCCTCATCTCACTACACACAGACAACTACGGACATCAATTCGACTGGGACAACGTTCAAATATTAGACAAAGGAAATAACAAGAATGCTAGAGAATTTTTAGAAGCTTGGCATTCCAGTGGATCATCAATCAATAGACACATCGAGATAGACAAAATTTATCAACCAATAAGAAAGAAACTTCACAGACAAAGGGTCAAAATTCAAGTCAAAGAAACAACCGGTTCCAATACAAGTAACCTAGAAGGTGTGAAAACACACACAAACAACCAATCACGTCCAAGGTCACCAGGAGATATGATTAATAAACTCGTGGAGAAATCTAAAAGCTCACTTCAAATTGAAGTATGCGCTGAAGATGTCACCAAGTAAGGTGATGAAAGCTTCGCAAACTAACCATCCAGCTCAGAGAACAAAACCACATCAAAGCCATCTCGTCTTTATGATATCTATTTCTAATACTTTTCAAACTTAAATCTCTTTTTTTACTCCTTCCCTTCATCCAGATGCTGCTAAAGCAGAATTACTATCCATAGTCCGTGAAGAATGTGATGCTCTACGATCTAGAATATCTGTAATTGAAAGTGATGTTGCAACCAGTCGTTCTGATCATCATCGGCTTATTTCTGAAGCAAGGAGAGCACAGACAGAAATTGATGAATTATTACGTGAACGTGATAAACTATCCGATCAAGTAAGTATTGTTTTTTTTTTCACTTCCCATTGCTTATCAGTTCGGTTCAGTTCAGTTCAGTTATGTTATTCATTCTATTGCTGTTCCCTTAGTTATTTGGTTGCTTACTTTTTCTTCATTATACTGTTTTTTTATATATATCCAAACCAAGTTCACTTTTAACGGTTTGAAAAAATTTGGGCATTGGGTATATGATATTCATTATAATAGAGGTTTTTGTATTTCCCAACGAATGAAAAAAACAAAACGAAATTGTTTTTACTGACGTTTCGCTATTTAATGCTAATAGCTTTCTCAAAGTATTATTAAACCGGAATTTACAAAATCCACTCAGCATATATATAACAAAGAGTTACGGGGTGAGAAAAATATAGACTTAGTTCAACTTAAAAGGACATATTGAAAGTCAAAATAACAATGAAGATCGTTCAAACCAAATATCAAAGGTAATAGTACATCTGTTATTATATCAAAATAAAGTTTACTAACTTGATCATCGTTCGTTAGTCTGGGGTCATTTTTGGGTTGTCAAGTTCGAGAATAGGTAAAGGTAACCAAACTAAGTGTAGAATATGAAACTTTATTTTGATATAATAACAGATGTACTATTACCTTTGATATTTGGTTTGAACGATCTTCATTGTTATTTTGATTTTCAATATGTCCTTTTAAGTTGAACTAAGTCTATATTTTTCTCACCCCGTAACTCTTTGTTATATATATGCTGAGTGGATTTTGTAAATTCCGGTTTAAAAATACTTTGAGAAAGCTATTAGCATTAAATAGCGAAACGTCAGTAAAAACAATTTCGTTTTGTTTTTTCATTCATTGGGAAATACAAAAACCTCTATTATAATACTGTTTTTTTATTTATCTGGCATTGATTGAGGTTTCTGTAGAGATTGGGTCTCTAGCCTCACATACATACTGTCTTCCCTCTCTCCGGGCTAGTAAACACGGAGATGTCTTGTTGAAGCCCTATGTTCCACTCGAAGCCCAGGGGAATGGTAATAATAATAATTTATGCATCACCTTTCTTCATGCTCATTACTATACAATAGTGGTGGTTTCAGTTATACCCATTACTGAGAAGAGACCTTTACAAAATTCCTTGTTGGGTGAATTTCTTATGGTAATTGTAGGACGGATAAATACTATACGAAATAATGCAATAATCAGCCATTATACTTTAAATTGTCATACATTCCTATGTCAGCATTTCATCAAAAGAAAAGATGTTTAGCGAAGAGAGTTATACTTTTCAGAGATGTTCATTCTCAAGCTGTAAATTTCTCTTAACAATAAAACGTATTTTTCCAAAGATGTCATTAGAATGGTAAATTTTAGATCTCAAATGACGTAATATGACTGACAGGATACAGTGAAATTCAACTGAAATTGAAGGGGAGTCAAGTTAAAAACTATAGTAACAGGCAGTAGAAATTTAATAAATAAGGCGGGGTAATGAAAGATATTAATACAAATAAAAGCCAAAAATTACGTATCCAGTGTTAAGACAGATCAGGTTCATTGTAGATTTAGTGACTGAACAAACTTCTTCTGTATGCCGAGTTCAGAACTTAACATGTGAATTGTCATCGCCTCTGAGGTTTGAAGAAGTGCGATTCGTACCCATTTAGAGAGATTTCAACGTATTCTGTAGATGATTTTAAAGTTGGTGTGTGCGTTAGCTAAGTATCCAGATTCGATCAGGTGTTCCAGGATCGAGTTACCGGGGGGATCGTTTTTCTTTTTATAAAACCATGAAGGCAAGTGTTCTATGATACATTTGGAGAGCAAACGCTGAATACTGTCGATATGTCTAGCTCCATTGGATGAGGTGAATGGATAGATACACATTGATAAAGGCAGCAGTGTTAGCACAAGTATGATTTAAATATTTGTTTTAATATCGTAAACTGTTGTTTAGGCTTCTAATTTTTATTTGTTTTTTTTTATAGCTAAACGCTTCGAATCGTCAAGTGGAGCATTTGCAGGGACTTCTTGCCACTACACTCTTAGGTGAACCTAAGAGTTCTGTGGATTCTGATAAAAAGGCTGCAACCCCCAATGAGACGCCCAGTTCAAATTCAACTTCCCAAAACGCTTATGCAGTTAACCAGTGTCCTACATCTTCCAGTTCGAAAATTAATCATATCCAATTACACGATTACTGTGTAAGTGTAGACTTCTTGTTTTCTTATTTCAATGTGTGTGTGCTTAACATGAAGGTAACATTTCATTCCTTTACGTTCCGAGTGAGACATAGGGCTTCAAGGTAGAAATTTGAATTTTCAGTAGCTGTGGCGTTTTCTCACGAGGTGGATTTGTTAGTTTCACACCCGAACTCCCCGCTTTGTCGAACTTCCAACCGGTTAAATGAGGTAAAGGTGTGCGTCAGCCGGGAGTCGTACTCCGGGTCACCTGCATGGGTTGGTGATCATCCCACCGTTGTACCATCGATGCACAGGTAGCATTTCAGAAGGTCATTAATGCTCAGTTGATTTTACAATTTCATATTTTTTGTATGATAAAATTAATTTTTGCAGTAACGGAAAGTGCTGGAAAATTCCATATCTCTCGTGCCCTCTTGCCTCATCTCTCAATTTTCCGCTTTTTATAGTTCTTTTAAACTCTCCTTTGTCTTTGTGTGCTACATGGGATACGACAAGTTGGGCTGTTGCATTTAAGTGCTAAGTTTTTTGTTGAGACTCAGTTAGTTAGTCGTTGAGATATACAGTACTCGTCAGCTGTTTCGTTTTCCTCTATCGTTGCAAAACTTTTCATTTTTTATTGAGCAAGAATAAAGCGTCAAAAATGGCAGATGGAACTGTATTATGCTGTTGTTATCCCTTGAATGAGAAGCATATTAGTAGGATGAAATGATGAGCTAAAGGATGATATAAATGTAAAAAGGCACATTACAAACGAACTGTAGAACAATGGAAGATAAATATGCTTACGTATTGGTTATATGTTTACGGTTTTGTAATCTTCTTAAGGATGCAAATATCTAATATGAAACTTTTCCTCGTCCTCCTTCTCCTACTGACTGAATTCCAGCGTGGGACTTTGAGCAGAAGTGAAACAGTTCCAGTTCCTACAGTCCATAGAATAGGTAACATGTAAAAACATTGGGGGTTTATTTGCTCTGGGAGATTAAAAAGAGTGAGGTTGCATCTGCCCCAATGAAAACCGTTTTGAATCCTATCACCGATTATCTCCAGCCATTGGCTCCTTAGCACCTCGAGAACCTGAACCAGAAGATCTTCACTTGTCTACGTGTTTGGCTCTAACCAGCTGTCAAAGAATTCGTGGATTCATTGCGGGTTTCGATTCGACCATTTCCAAATCTTCCAACCGAACCCTGTATTGAGTAACATTGGTTGACAAGGAAGGCGGGTTTTCAGCAAGTGTAGCTCGTGTCCTAACTGTTTCAATCGATGCTGCTTTACGTCAGTATTACTCACTATATTATACCAGTTATCACAAGAGATGGAACTCAAACACCTGTCGTTAGAGATAGCTAACCTCTTTATTTCGTACACTGTAGACGGTCATTTCTCACAGACTTAAAGAAAGACATGGTGAACTGTTGCACCGCTCGTGTACACACCTTGTGATCAATAGTCAGTTATCATGTTTAACCTAGAGACAGCAAATGCGACAAAAACGTTTTGTATCCCTTCTGAGATTTCGTCAGCAATCAGTCCGTCAGGCTTGATACAACTTCCCAAATAAATGAGGTGGTCAGAATGTCCAACCATTTCACTGCGTCTCTTTAAGGCTAAGAATCAATGACTGTTCCTTTAAAAAAGCTGATAGTAGTATGCTTAAAACAAGCTTTGGTTCCAACACATAAGAGTATACACACACAACTGTTTGGAAATTAAGCTCTAATTTTTTAACTTCAACCAGTCTAATCTTCAAAGACTTGCTTTTGCACTGTCGATCTATTGAAGCTCGAGGGGTTCCTACTGTATCGGCGTATATTTGAAAGTTAGACAACCATTGTTGCATTTGTGTGCTTCGGTGGCACAGCGGTATAATGCTCGTCAGCCATGTTGGTGGTCCAGGGTTCGATCCTGGCCACCGACACACTCCTTTACCTTGCTAAGCCAGTAATAGGACTGAAAAAGAGGGCAGGTTGGGCATGAGGCTAACAATAAACACCACTGCTACAGAAACTTAAAGCTTGTAGCTTGAAGCCCTATGTTCCACTGGGAACGTAAAGAATTAAAAAATGTTGTTGCATTTATTAGAGTATAAAAGTATATATTCTTGTAGTGTTGTAACATTTTGCAAATTTTGTTTTTCTTATTATTTATTTCAGTTTTCCCTATTCGCTGTTATTCCCATCATGGTGCTGATTTGTGCGTGTATGGTGTATATTTTTCTGCAGTTTGTTCGATGACCTGAATATATATACACAATAAACCAACTGGAATAAAAATTCAGTCCTTATCACACACACACACACACGCGTAAACATACACGCAGTGGTCTACAAATTGGATAATCTCTTATTCCGGTAACAATATATACATATTTCTTTTTCTGTGGATAATTTTGAACTTTGTATAGTTGGATTTGGTATTACAAACTGGTTTTTGCTTCTATTATTATTATTTTCTTGTTCAACTTCGAACATTTCAGAAAAGCCAAAACCAAACCTTTCGTGATTTGTATGTCTGTGTCTGTGTGTATGTGTGCGGCTGCACGTGTGCTTATTGAGTCACAGTCTCGGGGATTGTTCATCTTGATTTACAACTTTTCAGCCTGTCGTCTACAGTATAATCCACGAAAACACCTATCACCAACCAACAAACACATACGCACTTCACTTTTTTCACTTTCACTTTTTTCTTTTAATCAGCGAAAATCTCTTCTCTGTGTTATGTAATATGATGGTGTCAGCATAACATTTATACATACATATATAAATATTCATTATTGTACATTTGAAACCAAAATGGCTGTTCTCTTGGCTACTACTCAGTTTCAGTTTTTATTTAGCTAATTTAGAGGTTTATTATTATTATCATTATCATCACTACTAATGGCTTTTACAAAATTACTATTTATGACAATAGTAATAATGACTATTATTACTGTTATTATTACTACTATTATCAAATCAAAAGGAAAGTCTTTGAATCTTTCATTCAAATTGTCGCAACACAGGCTGTTTTTCTAACGAGAGAAAAATAATCGATAAAATTGCTATTCCAATTGTAACAGTTTATTACTATTATTATTATTATTATTATTATTACCACACTTCAAAGTAATTTTACTTCTCAAGAAGTGTGCGTATGTCTATCTATGTGTGACATGTATATGTGTACTTGAGCACATATGTGTACCATGATTCTTGTTTTTGTTTTTTTCTAAATGTGAACTCCTGTAAATACTTGATGTGATTTAGTAGAGACTTGTATTTATGTACCTTATGATTACCCCCTCCCCTTCTCTCCCACCACGGCCACCCTATTGATCTCTCTGTCGATTGGCTTTGTTTTACCGACACACAATGCATGCCTTCTCTCTCTCTTTGTCTCTTCGTGTCATTGTTATTTCTTGTTCATCATCATCGAAACGGGCTTTCCATTCACATCATTACAAGTGTGCCGCAGGAATATATATATTCCTTTCACTGTCACCTCCTCTGTCAGTCTTTTTCCTCCACTTTTCACAACTTTTAGTTTTCAAAAAAGTTAGAGATGAGTTCTGTACTCCATGCTCCACCTTCCCCGCCCCCCGCGTGCCGACCTCGTTTTTATTTGTGCATGGCAAAAATTGTAATCTCTTTTTTTCTTCTGGATTACAACTCACTGCATATAGCTATCCAATGTCCAATTAGCATTATTCGATATTATTAATATTATTCTTTTGAAATAGTTTTAAAAAAGTGTTTTTGTTATTTTTAGAGGTTTTTTGTCTTATCAATCATTATCGCTAGTAGTAGTGTGTGAAGAATGGTATGGTACTGCAGTTCAGTCCAGTGCAGTGCCGTATGTATGGCTTATCTTTCTAGGCACGCACTTATGAATATACATATATACATAAGTATATACAATCGCAGTGTCTTTTGTGTCTCTTCATTTGTACAGATTCGATTGTCGTGCTCCCTCTCTATCTCCCCTCCCACTCTGTCGGTCCTTCCCCCAGTTTCAGCGTACAAGATAGCGACCCCCCTCAAAACAAACAATTAAATAAAAAGACGATTACTGCTTTTGTGTTGTACATGCCTGTAGTTTTGCTAGTAGAGTATGTCCACTACAAATGTCACTTGTTTGGTGTGTATGTGTGTGTGTGTGTATTTTGTCTGAAATCGAATGGCTAACAAATGCAAATATTTCGACGATGTATAGGTAGGTGGTGATTGGCAATCCCTTGATTAGTGACAATAATCAGTATAGTATAATTGACTGTGAGTACTTACTAATCAATGATTGAGCCTCGCCTTTATTTTTGTGCGATTTTTCTTTTTTCGTCTGCTTTTCTCTCGCTTTCTTGACTTCTGCGTTCCTCATACTTTCGTAAACACATTGAAAGCAGAATTTATAGTCTGTGGTGGTAGAAAGGTGAGAGAGATATATGTGTATATGTTTCTTTGCGCTTAGTCACACTAGCAAACCCTATAATTGAGTTAGTTTTCCAGATAAGATAAACAACACCAGCAATAATAACAACAACGACAAGTAAGTAGATAAAAGCCTGTCTAGAAGTTTGTGTGTGTGAGTGTGTGTTAGGGTGCTGCACAATCTCTCTGTCTCTACATTGCATGCATACACATAAACCCCCCCACACACGCAGACATTTGTTCACATTCATCACTCATCACTTTCGTTCATCGTTGACTATGTGGGCTGGAGCCATTTTTATTGTTTTATTATGACTCAACCTTTTCGTTTTCCACCCTTTACAATACATTCGATATTTTTTTTGTAAAACTAAACTAATTGTTTTTTTTTGGATGGGTGAGATGCGTTTGATCTCTGAATATGTATATAGACATAGATGGTAGTTATCGCAAATAATAAAACTTATCGAATTCCTTTAATTTTACGACCACCTCCATGTATGCATGTGTGTACGTGCGTGCGTGCCTGTGGTTATCGTCGTCAATGCTGTGCTTCATTGAATCACTCGAAAATCTCTCTTCAGCTATTTGTGTGTATTGTTTTTTCACTTCTCGTCTTTCTTGCTGCTGTTTGTCTATTTGTTTTCGTGTGAAATTAAATTCTTCTGGAGTAGTTGAGAGTGCACTGCTCATTCGACCAGTCATTATCATTGTTATTATTATCGTTATCAGGTCATTTGTTTACTAGACGTTAGGAGATATGTGTGTAGTATTCCAATCCAAACGGCCTTATCATCAGACACGCACATGCAGATAGATATACTGAAACACTTTCCTTTCCCTTTTCTTTTCTTCATTCATTTGTAAAGTGAGGAGTATTCCAATTAAACTACTGATTGATTTTACTTTGCGTAATTAATTGCTGGGTCATAAAGGCATTTTGTGTTGTCAATTCAAATAATGAATTCAGGTGTATGTATGAATGGGTGAGAATAATAATTACAGTGTACTTACTTTTGTAATGGAAATGAACTATGAGTGTGAAATATATAAGAATATGGGTTGTGCTCGGTATGCAAATCCCCTCCCTCACTTCCCCTTCCCGCTCGACCATTTTACTAACAGTGTTTTAATGAAATAAATGACTTTCAGTTTACACTGGATTGATTTTTTCTCTCCTGTTTTTTAATTTTTGTTTGTTATTGATTGATCAGTGGATGTATAGGTGTTTCTTTCGAGGTTCACTGTGATGATTGACATAGATCAGTTGGGGGGGGGGAGATTTCATCATGAGCTGACATCAGTTAGAGAACCATTGGAAAACCTGGGAGTACTAGAAAGCTACTTTGACTTAGGTTGGGACCGGTGTCATGAATTGGCAGAAGTTAGAATTCATGGGCTGGCCATTGGATCGGGTCCCAGTGGCTTAATGGTCTACAAGCCAACTCGCCTTGTAACGTGAATGTCCTGGGTTCGAGCCCCGGCTGGTGCGTACTAAAGAGTCCCAAACTAGCACGAAACAGCTGTCCAGTACTCCCAGTCGGTTTTCCAATGGTTCCCTAACTGATGTCAGCTCATGATGAAATCCTCCAAACAATCGAAAAAATCCCAACAAAACCAATACTTGCAATAGATCAAGCCTATTGGTAATTTTAAGCTGAACACCAAATGCGTTGGTGGTCCAGCGGTAGAATGTGCCAGCCAATTACGCCTCAACTGGAGTTCGTGGTTCCATTCCCGGCCGGAGCGCACACCTTTATCTCCCCTAGCCAGTTGTTGTGTGCACAACGAAGAGGGAAGTTTCGGTGTGAGGCTATAGAAGCTTCACTCCGTAAAAAGGAGTAACACGATTGCTCCTGGAAGTTCAAAGCTCAAAGATGAAGCCTTATATTCCGGTGGGAAGGCATAGGAATGAAAGAAAAGTTATGTCTAGTGGAAAAATATCCAATGATATATATATATATATATATATGCATATATCCTCTTTGTACTTGTTTATCAATAGTTCTAGTTAAAAAAATAACTTGGCATTCGTTCTCCGTGTAATTTATTCACACTCTGAACGATGGATGACGTCATAGCTCATTATTCGTAAGGGTGGTTGGTCATAAGGAAAAGGCCGTTGGGCATAAATTTGACAAGCAATTATGTTAACATTGAAACGATCTATAACCCAATGCTATGCTTTATGCTTACGCTTATTTTGTGAGGGCTAATGACATTACTCAGGTTGAAGTGGATAGAGTGAGACTCGAATCCTGGGCTCGTCGACTGAAATTTAGATGTCTGAGCCAATGAGCTACATCTGTGAATGAATCAGTATTCTGGTATAAAAGATTTATATCAGCTTTGTACATATTGATATGATCAGTAATACAACCTATTAAAATGCCAGTTATATTACATTCTGTCATCGCGCTAATTTATAACGTCAACTGCATCACTATGCGAAAAGAAAAAGGGAAGCTGAATCGTAGTCACAAAAGTTTCTACTGTCTTAAATTCATGACAGCAATGCTAAATACTTTATAGGTTTCAAATAACCCTGGTCGACGTCAAATTCATTCATAAGTGTAAAGAGTTAGGAACCAATGAGTGGCCGGTTTTCATGAGACAGTGCGATATACGGAAGGGTGTGTGATAACTATAAAATGCAATTGTTTTAAAGATATTAGCAAAATGAGGGGTATAGAGCACATATTTATATTTACTACGAGAAGGGATTTAAATCCATTGCCATTGGATTTGGTTACAGGAAAAAAAGAAAAGTCAAATTTTAAATCTTGATTTATTTACACAACTTGTAAATCTTTAATTTAAGATTCTGGAATGTTCGGCAACCATGTGGGTGGTCGGTTGTTGAATGCAGACTGACGCGTTCATTAACATCGCTTAGTCATACTAGTTGGTACTACGTCTGTCAAGATAGAGAAGGTTGGAAGCGAGTCTGAAGACACCACAGCTACAGGAAATTCAAATCTTGAAACCTCAGGTGTCAGAAAAACTATCACACTAACATTTCCATTAATCATATTCTGGCTGACTGACTGGTTTCAACGTGGAACTTTATGCCGATATGCAGCAATTCGAGTCGTCACACTTCACATTTAGCACATAAAGCAAGAGAAGAAAGTAAAAAGAAATGCAAAACAGTGGCAGTGAACTGAGATCTCAGGCAAAAAGGATAGTAATACTGAAGAATAAAATAGTTTTATTGGATATAACAAGTCACCAAATAGTGAATACATCTACACCGGACATTGAGAACGATTTTGAGCCATATTACTTATTGTCCCCAGCCAGCATTGGTTTTTACCATCCCAAGGACCCCAGAAAGTCTACATCTCCCTATATGGCTGGTTTAAACTAACTGTTGTGGATTTCATTGATTGGATAACTTAGTAATATCCTTTTACACCGTATTTTTCAGTAAATGCGTCCTAGTGTCTGTATCAAAATTTCACAGTTCTTTTTTGCCCCAATTTAGTGTTTATGCATGAGTTAATAGGAGTTTACATATTTCACTGCAGTTATTCCACTGTAGACTTACTTATTCTACATAAATTAGCCATTCATAAGCGTATTCGATTGCACATAATAGATAAGCTTCTATAGTGGGTAGAAACATCATTTAGTTATATAATAATATTATTTAGTACTGTTGTCAATGTCGGACACTTCTAATCGCTCCACGTTGAAAACTAGTACAACACATGCATATTTAATTCGCGCGTTCTTATTCACGTGGTAATCCCAACCTAATTACGTAGTGGTTGGTATTCTCGATTTCCAGTGTGTCATACAAACGAATATATGACCTTAATGATGTTAGACATACATTTTATTGTACTAGAAAGCTACGGGTGCAAATCGGCTCTTTTTACATACATCTGATTGATTTACCAATAAACGACTTCATAGGAAATTACAGGAGTTCAAGTTGTCAAAATTTGACGTAAATTAAAGAAGTTTTGTGAAAGTTCATTGGATGAAAAAGTACGAGAGGCAGAATAATGGAATATCCTTTGCAGAATCTGAAAGAACAGAAATTCAGTACATTTACATGTGATAAACAATCCACAGTCATGTCACACAGTCTCTCAACTCAGTACCGCTTGATAGGTGATTGGAGAATACAGTTAAGCTGCTTTATTCTCTAGTCTTCTCTGAGGTTTGGTTCAGCAAATGCTAAGAATAGTCTTTCTCACAGATTGCTTAGCATTTCGAAGATCCCAGTCAGATAGTCTCCATCTTTTTTCGTGACAAGGAAACCAACCGTCATCAACTTAGGGCTACATTCTGGTCTGAAATGTATTCCATTTAAAATGGTGAGTCGTTTAAGATGATGGTTCGGTATGCACAGCATGTCAGTTGGTGAAATTTTAGCAGCTGGCCTTCTATTCACCTCCCTTCAAGAATTTTATTTATTGATAATGTACTAACGATGCAATACTGTAGTAAAATGCTGAGAATTCCATTCTGTATCGCAAGTACTGTTTGTGGAATAAAGCAAATTATTATTAATAAATTTAACAGAGTCTTTCTTTTAAGGCTCAGAATAACCTCGAAGTAACTTAAAAACCGTGATGGTGAGCTACCTAGAATGGTGTCCACATTGTAAACCTGACTGACAGAATTCAGTCTGCACCAAAGAGAGGACTAGACACATCACCCTAGTTACTAACTAGTCTCCAATAAAAGTAACTTAAAACATTGATGTTATTGGGAGGGTTAGAAGGAACAGATGTCGATTGACTGACTCAACAGTATCTTGAGACCTACATTTACGGAATACTACCCATCAATTAAGGAATTCACGTCCAGTTTCCGTAATGGGTCCAAATATTCGACTGGTACTATTTCAAGTACTAAGCATTGGTTTCCAGGAATATAATTGGTTACAGGGTTGATTGGTTACAAGTTGAAATCAGTTCGAGAACCAGTAGCTGAATGGTCTACGAACTCGCCTTGTTACCATAAGCTCGTGGGTTCGAATCCAAGTGGGTGCGTACTGTTGGAAATTCTCAAACTAGAATGATACAGCTGTTCAGTACTACATAGTTTGCAATAGTTCTCTAACTGATGTCAACTCATGTTCAAGCGTGTAATCAATCAAATCCCTGAGAACCAACGATTAATAATCAATCTAATGCTTATAAGAGACTGACTCTAAACAGAGAGTTCCGTTGAATCTTAATGAGAAGTCGTGACCAGCGGGATCCACCAAGTCAGCTAAGAGATCAATTATGCGCTTTTGACATTGACTGGCTGATGCGCTATATAAATCACGACTAGGTAGAAGTTGGAATTAATGGATTGCGTCCTGGTGGTTGAATTGTCTACGAGCTTGCCTTGTAAGTGGAATGTCGTGGGTTCGAACCCTGGCAAGTGAGAACTGTTGAAAAGCCCCGGATTAAAATGAAACTATCGTCCATTTCTCCAATGTTTTCCAGTATTTCTTTAACTGATGTCAGCTCGCGATGAAACCTAGGAATATTTAGGCAATATCACATGCTCCTTACATATAATTATTTCAATAATTACCATTGTAACATTAAGAACACAATATTCAGCGAAGAAGAGACCTTTTTCAACGAATTTATTATCAAGTATTGGTTTTGTAGGGATTTTGTTTGATTGTATGGAGGATTTCATCATGAGCTGACAGCAGTTAGAGAACCGCTAGAAAGCTGTCGCTTCTTAGCTTTCCAGTGGTTTTCTAACTGATGTCAGCTTATTATGGAATTTATCATCAAACTGTACACTCGTATATACATAGTTTCTTAACGAAACTATATCTAGTGAGGAAATTGAGTCTAAGGTGTGATTACATGAAGTAAAATTGCGAACACGAACAATTTGAGGAATACATTTCTCCCTAGTTATCGTAAAACAGTCTCAGTCTGCTAATCTGAAACATCTTAACAGCCTCAAGCAGGTGGTAACAGAAAGAAGGTTTCCGACTGACGCCAATAAATACTTATTCACCTATTCTTTCCTTTGTATCACTGGGTCGTCCTAAGTTCTGTAACAGTGCCTCCACAGTCGACCGATTGAATATTCAAGTGCAATTCGAGAACCTAATCATCCAGACTGGCGATCTCATATTCCCATCACCCAATGAATTCCAACAATTCAAATTCATAGTTCTTGAT